ACTTGACGACCCACACCTGAAGCTCTTATAAACAGAAGTACACCCAACACTGACATTCCCCCTAAACTCCTCTGAAGATGTTACGTAGCCTGGTAACGAGACGTTCGGAAACCATCCCACCAGCTCGGAGAATGAACCTTCACCCCTTAATTCCAATTTTTGGCAAAAATGGCCCACGACAATCATGGCTTTGATTCATGAGCACCGTAAAAATAGCTGTAAAATCAAGTCAGGCACAACCATCTCATGTTCCAAACCAGATGGGCCGGCTTTATTATGAGCGTAACTCAAGGATTACCTATGTATGAAATTAATATTTAAGGCAACCCACGGAAAAGATGCGGCTGTGGCCTCATTTGCTGGCAGAAGAACACCCCAAATCGATGGCAGTGAAACTGCCAGTTTTCCATAACAGTTTTTGACACTAAACTCTTCAACATGGCTGATGCTTTGAAAACAGAGGGCATTGGCATTCCCCCTTCAAATCTCAACCCCTCCCAAAATCTCGTTTCCTCCCTCCCTGTTTTCCACACATTAGTAAAGGTAGTCCTCATTTATGCAGATGATACCACTCTAATGGCAGAAAGTGAAGAGGAACTAAAGAGCCTCTTGATGCGGGTGAAGAAGGAGAATGCAAAAGTTGGCTTGAAAATCAACATCAAGAAAACCAAAATCATGGCATCCGGCCCTCTCAATTCCTGACAAATAGATGGGAAGAAATGGAGGTAGTGACAGATTTTATCTTCCTGGACTTCAAGATCACCGCAGATGGGGACTGCAGCCAAGAAATGAAAAGACACTTGCTCCTGGGGAGGAAAGCTATGGCAAATCTAGACAGCATACTAAAAAGCAGAGACATCACCCTGCCAAGAAAAGTACGTATAGTCAAGGCCATGGTTTTCCCAGTTGCAACGTTTGGCTGTGAAAGTTGGATCATAAGAAAGGCTGAGTGCCAAAGAATTGAGGTCTTTGAACTATGGTGCTGGAGAAGACTCCTGCGAGTCCCCTGGACTGCAAGGCGATCAAGCCGGTCAGTCCTAAAGGAGATCAACCCCAACTGCTCTTTAGAAGGCCAGATCCTGAAGCTGAAACTCAAGTACTTTGGCCACCTAATGAGAAGGAAGGACTCACTGGAGAAGGGCCCTAATGCTGGGAAAGTAATAGTAATAGTAGTAAAGTTGGAAGGGACCTTGGAGGTCATCTAGTCCAACCCCCTGCTCGGGCAGGAAACCCTACACCATTTCGGACAAATGGCTGTCCAGTCTCTTCTTAAAAACTTCCAGTGTTGGAGCATTTACTGCTTCTGGAGGCAAGCTGTTCCACTGATTAATTGTTCTCACTGTCAGGAAGTTTCTCCTTAGTTCTAGGTTGCTTCTCTCCTTGATTAGTTTCCACCCGTTGCTTCTTGTCCTGCCTTCAGGTGCTTTGGAAAATAGCTTAATTCCCTCTTCTTTATGGCAGCCCCTGAGATATTGGAATACTGCTATCATGTCCCCCCTTGTCCTTCTCTTCGTTAAACTAGACATACCCAATTCTCGCAACCGTTCCTTATATGTTTTAGCCTCCAGTCCCCTAATCATCTTTGTTGCTCTTCTCTGTACTCTTTCTAGAGTCTCAACATCTTTTTTACATCGTGGTGACCAAAACTGGATGCAGTATTCCAAGTGTGGCCTTACCAAGGCATTGAAGAGTGGTATTAATACTTCACGTGATCTTGATTCTATCCCTCTGTTAATGCAGCCTAGCACTGTGTTGGCCTTTTTGGCAGCTGCAGCACACTGCTGGCTCATATTTAAGTGATTGTCTACTAGGACAATAGAAGAAGGGGACGACAGAGAATGAGGTGGCTGGATGGAGTCAGTGAAGCAGTAGGCGTGAGCTTAAATGGACTCCAGAAGATGGTAGAGGACAGGAAGGCCTGGAGGAACGTTGTCCATGGGGTTGTGATGGGTCGGACACGATTTCACAGCTAACAACAACAACAGTCCTCATTTAGTGAGGGATCAGCAACTTGGTCATTAAGCGAAATAATGGCTGAGTGAAATCACCACTGTGCTTATGATCTGACTTCAGCTTTCTTTTCCTTCACAGATCTGTGAAAGTCATACTGTACATGAGAGAACTGGTTATGACATTATGTTTTTCATTCCTCCTCATAATGACAAACGGTTGCCGCCAAAGGCAACCATATGCCCTGTGTCGCCAGACTCCACAAATACAGACAGTCCTTAAGTTGCAACCCTTCTTCGTTTAGTGACCGTTCAAAGTTACAACGGCACTGAAAAAAAAGGTGACTTGCGACTATTTTTCACACTTGCGCCTGTTGCAGCATCCCCGTGCTCACATGATCAAAATTTGGATGTTTTTAGCAATTGATTCATACTTAGGATGATTTGCAGAGTCCTGGGGTCTCGTGATCCCGTTTTGAGACCTTCTGACAAGCAAAGTAAATGGGGAAGGCAGTTTCCCTTAAAAAACTGTGCAACTAACTCAACAACTGCTGCGATTCATTTAACGACAGTGACAAGGAAGTTTGTAAAACGGGGCAAAACTCACTTAACAATTGTCTTGTTTAGCAACAGAGGTTTCGGGGGGGGTCAATTGTGGTCGTAAGTCAAGGACTATCAGTATATGCACAACATATGAAGCGTAGTACTCTCCATTATTACAGGCTGACCAAGCAGTCATTTTACTTTATCTTTGCAAATTTTAATAATAATAATAATAATAATAATAATAATAATAATAATAATAATAATAATAATAATAATGACAAATTCGCTATTAGTCAATTGCAAAAGGCGGCCTTATTAGGAACTGCTTCCATCCTGCGACGATATCTGTAATACAATCAAACATCCACATCTGCCTATCCCAGGTCCTGGGTAAGGACTCGATAGGTAGACAAAATGCCAAATCCAGTCTGAACATCTGGCTGACTGTGCGATGATCGATAATAATAATAATAATAATAATAATAATAATAATAATAAATCTGAAGCTGTATGGAAAAACATCATCTGAAATAGAATCGCTGCTCAACACTGTCCGTATATATAGCCAAGATATTGTATGGAGTTTGGCTTGGACAAATGTGCCACACTTACTATCAAACAAGGAAAAATAGTGAAAACTGAAGGAATCAAGATGCCCCACGAAAATAACATTAAGAGTCTGGATGAGGAAGAATACTACAAATACTTGGGTATCCTTCAAGCTGACAACATCAAGCACACTGAAGTCAAGAAAAAGATTAGAGTGAATACATCAAGAGAGTGAAGAAGATCTTAAAATCCAAACTCAATGGAGGAAATACCATAAAGGCAATCAACACCTGGGCAATCCCAGTCATTAGGTACACAGCTGGAATAGTGGACTGGACTCAAGCAGAACTAAAGCAATGGATAGGCAGACCAGAAAAATAATGACAATGAATCATGCCCTTCATCCACGCAGTGACATTGATAGACTTTATCTACCAAGGCAAATAGGTGGGCGTGGAATGCTACAAGTACATCAGATGGTTGAAGAAGAAAAAATGGCTTGGAAGAATATCTGAAGAACAATGATGAAGATGCACTGAAATTAGTATATCAGGAAGGCTTACTAACTACCGGAGAGACCAAACTGGCCTACAAGAAAGACCAAATGAAGAACAGAATAGAGGCACGGGAAGACAAAGCACTACATGGCCAATACGTGAAAAAAATAGCTGGGAAAGCAGATAATAATAAAACCTGGCAATGGCTAAGAGCAGGAAAATTGAAGAAAGAGACTGAGGGACTCATTCTGGCTGCACAAGACCAAACCTTAAGGACAAATGCATACAGAGTCAAAATTGAGAAGACAGCAACAGACAGTAAGTGCCGCCCATGCAAAGAAGCTGAAGAAACAGAGGACCACTTGGTAAGCTGTTGCAAGAAGATTGCACAGACTGACTACAAGCAGCGGCATGACAAAGTAGCAACAATGGTGCATTGGAAGATCTGCAAAAAATATCATTTGCCTATAAGCAAAAACTGGTGGGATCATAAAACAGAGAAAGTCATATAAAATGATAAAATTAAACTGCTCTGGGACTTCAGAATTCAAACAGACAAGCACCTGCAACATAACACCCCAGACTTAACAATTGTCGATAAGAAAGACAAAAAGTCTGGATAGTGGACGTGGCAGTGCCTGGAGACAGCAGAATAGAAGAGAAAGAACTGGAGAAGATAACAAAACACAAAGACCTACAAATAGAAATAGAAAGACTGTGGCAAAAGCAAACAAGGGTAGTACCAATAGTCATAGGCGCCTTGGGTGCAATCCCAAAACAACCGGAGCACCACTTGAACACCATTGGCATTGACAAATTCGCTATTAGTCAATTGCAAAAGGCGGCCTTACTAGGAACTGCTTCCATCCTGCGACGATATCTGTAATACCATCAAACAGCCACATCTGCCTATTCCAGGTCCTGGGTAAGGACTCGATAGGTAGACAAAATGCCAAATCCAGTCTGAACATCTGGCTGACTGTGCGATGATCTATAGTAATAATAATAAGTTGGAAGGGACCTTGGAGGTCATCTAGTCCAATCCCCTGCTCAGGCAGGAAATCCTATACCATTTCGGACAAATGGCTGCCCTGTCTCTTCTTAAAAACTTCCAGTGTTGGAGCATTCACTGCTTCCGGAGGCAGGTTGTTCCACTGATTAATTGTTCTAACTGTCAGGAAGTTTCTCCTTAGTTCTAGGTTGCTTCTCTCCTTAGTTAATTTCCATCCATTGTTTCTTATCCTGCCTTCAGGTGCTTTGGAGGATAGCTTGAGTCCTTCTTCTTTGTGGCAGCCCCTGAGATATTGGAATACTGCTATCATGTCCCCCCTCGTCCTTCTCTTTCCTAGTAGCAACGTGAAACTGAAACCCAGAAAATGAGACCTCTCGGGAAAGAAAAGCATTATAGAAAGATGAAAAACAGTTGCCAAGGGGGGGTGCTATTAGTGCTGCAACTGACCTGTAACAGCCTCCACAGGTATGGGGCCGAGACGCTTGCGACCGGAGACCCCGTAAAGGTTGAACTTGTATCGGTGCGAAGGGACCAAGTCATGGAACCGCAGCAGTCGCAATCCTCCGTCTACAGGCAATGCGTGGGATTTGCCTGCCGCATCCCGGTACTGGATGATAAAAGAGTCAAAATTCCCAGATTCCACAGTCCAAGACAGGAGGAGGGATTCCGATGTGATGTTGTGCGCGGACAACGTTCCCAGCTTAAGGGGTTGGGTGCCTTGGCCTGGAAGAGAGAAGGAAGACGATCTGGATTGAAAATAGGACGATGCCGGTTTTCTTGTGAAAGATTATACAAGGGGAATACCGCAGGACTCTTGTTTGGGATTTGGGTGGGTTGATTTTGTCACTTTTTAAAATATATATGGATAGATGGATGGATGGATGGATGGATAGATGATAGACAGATAGATAGATACGATTGACAGATCGATAGATAGATATGATAGATATATACAATAGATAGATACGATAGATGGATAGATAGATAGATTAGATAGATAGATACGATAGATACGAAAGATAGATACGATAGATACATATGATAGATAGATGATAGATACATATGATAGATAGATAAATAGATACAATAGATACATACGATAGATAGATAGATGATAGATAGATGATAGATAGATAGATGATAGATAGATAGATAGATAGATAGATAGATAGATAGATAGATAGATAGATAGATAGATGGTCATTATAGTAAGTGTGTGTGTGAGAGAGACAGAGAAAACAGCAAAATCAATACAATTGAAAAAAATGATAGATTAGATAGATACGATAGATACGATAGATACGAAAGATAGATACGATAGATACATATGATAGATGATAGATACATACGATAGATAGATAAATAGATACAATAGATACATACGATAGATAGATAGATAGATAGATAGATAGATAGACAGACAGACAGACAGACAGACAGACAGACAGACAGACAGACAGACAGATAGATAGATAGATAGATAGATAGATAGATAGATGGTCATTATAGTAAGTGTGTGTGTGAGAGAGACAGAGAGAGAAAACAGCAAAATCAATACAATTGAAAAAAATGACCAGATTCGTGCAGATTTTCTTCGAGAAACCAATAGCTGATGTTGCACTTTAAACTTCAATTTTTAAATCGTTAGGTTGGATCTTCATTGACCCGGGAAGTAAATGAACATTATTATGTTCTAAATTCATCCACTGAAGTTACTGTAATGGTGCCTCCTTCCAAGAAGAAGCTTCCAGTGCTATCAAGCTGAAGACATTACTTACATAGCCAATTTCTTTAATAAGATTCTCTTCTTCAAGTTGAGGTAATTCTATATCACAGTGATGGCGAACCTTTTAGAGACCGAGTGCCCAAACTGCAACCCAAAACCCACTTATGCATCGTCAGGTGCCGGGTGGGTGTGGCCCATTGGGTGGGTGTGGCCCATTGGGTGGGTGTGGCCCATTGGGTGGGTGTGGCTGCGATGGTAATGGAAGACTGGGTGGGACTAAAAAGTTCAATCAATCAATTCCAACTTTGCAAGATCTTTTTTTTTTCCTGCGAGAAGTTGAAATTGATTGCTTGAACCTCTTTTTTTTTTTTTTTGCACACGGGAGCGGAGGCCTAAAGCAAAAAGGTTTTATAAAACCCAGCTGAAGGCCTAGGACTGGGGCGACGGCGCGCGTGCCCACAGAGAGGGCTCTGAGTGCCGCCTCTGGCACCCGTGCCATAGGTTCGCCACCACTGCTATATCATCTATATCAGTAGCGTAGTTCTCAACCTTTTCTTCACCGTGGGCTCCCTTTAAATACCTTTTGTGGCCACTGACCGTGGCCACGAACCCACAAGACTTAACTCAAGATTTAAATCATAACATTTCTTCAAACCTTTGCGGACCCCCCCGTGATGACATCGTGGCCCCTCCAAGAGTTCACGGACCACAGGTTGAGAACCACTGATCTATATCAGCCTTTCTGTTTCTATATCATCTCTATCAATATCAGCCTTGTATTATCTTTCTCTCTCCCCCCCTCTTTCTCTCCCTCTCTCTCTTGGATACAGTGCTGACTCCTCATGAACGCCTTTCAGTTTTTAGGCAAGATTTTGGGAACTGATTTGCCCTGGCTTTTTTCTTCCTAGAGGTGAGAGGGAGGGATTGGCCCAAAGTCGCAGTCTTCCAGTTTCTGGAAGATCTTTCTGTAGCTTATAGTACAGTGGTGGCGAATTTATGGCACAGGTGCCAGAGGTGGCACTCGGAGCCCTCTCTGTGGGCACACGTGCCGTTGCCCCAGCCTTGCCTCCCCCCACGATCCCCTCCTCTCCGCAGCCTCCCTGAAGGAGAGTCGCCCTCGAGGGTGGCCCACACGGAGCAGTGCAGCCAAGGACATGGCAGCCGGGCAGCATAGACAAGACTCTGCCCTCACACCCCATCATGCAGTAGATGCTGCAGGGTGAGGGCAGAGGGTGTGGCCGCCATAGCACTGCTGGGCTGCCTGGGCGATCTGCAGCGGGCCCTGGAGGCAGTGAGTGGTCCTGTAGGCAGGCGGGGCGGGGATGGAGGAGCAGAGTGGGGGCGGGGCAGGGGGGTGGAGTGTGGGTGGGGCCAGTTTTTGGGCACTCGGTCTCTAAAAGGTTCGCCATCACTGTTATAGTATATTACTGTTGCACTGTGTAAGTCACAACTGTAACAGATTAGGGGAGCTGGCCTCTGTTTTCCATAAAATAAATAAACAAAAAACACAATCAATAAACACCATTGTGAGGTCCCCGAAGCCAGTTTTCCCTCTGACCTGTGACAACATTGGTAGAAACGGGGCCGAGGCGTTTGCGCCCGTTCAGGCCATACAGATTGAACTTGTATCTGTGAGAAGGAGTCAGGCTGGTGATGGCGATGCCCCGCGAAGTGCCATTTAGGGGCAGGACTTGGGGCTTGCCCTCAGAGTCCTTGTATTGGAGCAAGAAAGAATCAAAATTTCCAGCAGCCACTGTCCAGAACAAAGCCACCGAGTCATTCGTGACCCGAGAGACGGAGAGATCTCCTAGCTGGGGCTGAACGGTCCTTTCTCCTTCGGATATCTCTGTGGTAGAGAAGGACAAAGAAGAAAACAGATGCTTGTCAAAAAAAATTGTTTGTTTTTTAAAGAAAATGTTATTGATTTTCTAATTTTACATTTAAATATTTAAAAAGCCACACGGCGGCTGAGTTAATTGATAATTCAATTACATACAAGTATCTTTAGTACAGATCTCAAACTACTACATTAAATATTTCTTCTCTTTTCCCCTTCGTATTTACTGTCTCATATTCAAACTAATACAATTCTTATTATATCGATTAAATGAAAATACCTTTCTTATATTTATCAATAATTTTTAGTTTATACATATCCTAGTTATTTTAACATTCAGTCTTTATAGACAATCAATGTCCTAATTAGTTTTTCCCAATTTTTAGTTTCCCACTAATATTTAAATGTAACGTTGAATATTTATAATTTCCAAATTTTAAATAACCCCAATTCCTTTTATCACAATTCACTGTGAGATCTAATGTTCAGGATACACGTCTTATCTATTTGAATTCTCACCATCTTACATCAACTAATTAATAATACAATATAACATTCTTATTTTCTGTTAATTTCCAAGTAACCAAAATTTCTCTTATTTCAACATTTAATATTTCCTCTCTTTTTTAGCTTTATATATATGTTTTCTGAGGTTTTCGCGGGTGTTTGTATGTAAGGACGGGTTTCCAAATGGCTGGTAGGCGGGAGGTATCATCTCGTTTATTCATGCTGTGTGGGCGTTTTTCTATCTCGATGGCTTCTCTGATTATTCTGTTATTAAAATGTTCAGTTTTGGCGATAGTTCTGGTCTTTTTAAAGTCATTTTCATGTCCTGTGGCTTTGAGGTGTTGGACCAGGAAAGAAGTTGGTTCCTCTTTTTTGACTGAGTTCTTGTGTTCTTCAATGTGTGCACTTATTCTTCTGTTGGTTTGTCCGATGTATGTGGTGGGGCAAGCAGTGCATGGGATTTCATATACTCCTTGATTGTCTAACTCAATTTTGTCTTTGGGGTTTCTTAGGATGGTGGACATTTTTCTGTTTGTGCAGAATGCTGTCTTGATGTTGTGTTTGTGGAGGATCTTGCCGATTCTGTCTGTGGTGCCTTTTATGTATGGGAGGAGGGCTTTGCCATTTTCTTGTTCTCTGTCTTCGATTTTAGTGGGGGTTTCTTTTTGAATTAGGTTGGTAATCTTATTTCTTTGGAATCCATTGGATGTTAGTACATTAGTGAGAGTGTGTAGTTCAGTTTTTAGGTGTTGTTCATCAGCTAAGCGTTTTTGCCTCGTGAAAAAGCACCCTTGGGATAACTACAACCCAGATGACTGACAATCTCCATAGACCAGGAAAGCTATGCTGACTCAGGAATTCTGGGAGTTGAAGTCCATGAGTCATAAAAGAGCCAAGGTTGCCTACCCCTGCCATAGACATTTGGCTGTGACGGGTGGCCAAAATCACTTTTATTTGTGCACCTGTTAGAAATATGCAAGTTTGCCAGCTAAACCAATAAGACAATCCAACAGCCAATCACTGACCTGTCATGGTGTGAATGGAGAGAGGCCCAAGATGCTTGTAGCCAGAAACTCCAAATACGTCAAATTCATACGTCTGTGAAGGTGTGAGGTTGTAGAGATGGAGGGAGCGCATGGATCCATCAACAGGTACCGCCTGGGGCTTGCCTGCAGCATCCTTGTACTGGATGATGAAAGAGTCAAAATTTCCTTCCTGGACATTCCAGGAGAGCAGAAGGGAATCAGGAGTGACTTCAGAGACAGTGACATTTCCAAGGTTGGGCTGGGTGCTCTTGCCTGTACTTTCCTCCGGTTGTTTCTTTTCTTCAACCTGCCCAGATGTTTCTGCAGCTGCAAAAAATAAAAAGAGGAAGACGATGGAGGATCCTAAGGTATATAACTGCCAGGAAGGAATTTCACATTGGACTCTGAAGGCCGAGCGGTAATCATTTTTGCAGGATTTCAAAATTTGCCTTTTATTAACATGCACATACAGTTGGTCCTTGACTTACAACAGTTCGTTTCGTGACTGCTCTAAGTTGCAACAGGACTGAGAAAAGGGACTTATGACTGTTTTCACTCGTGTGACCCAGAGTCACGTGATCAAAATTCAGACCCTTGACAACTGACTCGTATTTATGACAGTTGCAATATCCCAGTATTATGCGATCGCCTTTCGCGAACTTCTGAGAAGGAAAGTCAGTGAGGAAACCAGATTCATTTAACAACCATGTTACTAACCTGTTCACGGTCACAACTCACTTTTTTCAGTGGTTTGTACCTTTAGAAAGGTCACTACATGAACTGTCGTAGGTCGAGGACTCTCTGTCACCAAATTTCAGCTCATAGGGATGAGAAAATTGCGTTTCTTTTCAAGTGAATGTCAGTAATTTGATATTAATTTGTCTCACTGATGCATTCTGCACCTATAAGCATGCTCTCCCTTATTTCTATAACTCCGTGTTGCTTACTAAACTCTGCTTTTAAAATAAATGGACAAGGAGGAAAGAAGAGAACATGAGACAGATGACAATAATGGGACACACTGGTCTTTTCAGAATGTTTCAGAGGTAAGGACCTAAAAAGCATTGAAGGAAAGCTGGAATCTGAGTGTTGCCAAGGTAACTGTCAACGCTGCTAACATTGGATGTTTTTGATTTGACAACAGTTGGAGAAGCAACCATTTTCTTCTTAAGTTTTATTCTTAGAGTTAGAGCTAGAGTTAGATGATGCCAGGGGGAAGAATGTGCATGAGAGTTTAGCTAGACATAACAATACTGGACCTAGTGTGTGAACCAAGGTTATTGAAATAAGGGATGATAAGAATTGGCAGGTTGGAGAACTGGAGGGAAAGCCTGCATTTCAAACTAACTGGAGAATGTGATTTATGACTGTTAGTTGGAGGAGGGAATTGTGCTTTGATTTGTGCTCAGGGGAGGGGAATTCAGTTTTTGGCTTTGATTATGTTAGTGCCGACGCTATGCTTCTCTAATAAAGATTCTTTAAGGTAAACAATGCCTCGAAGTTCTTTGAAAAGTTCCATCTGTTGAAATCATGACAGTAACACTGATTGTATCCAATAAGGGAGAACATTTATAGCTCTGGGTTGAAAATGAAGGGTCCTTGGTGTTCTCTGAGTTTGGTTGTTTTCTTGAAGACGTTTCTTCGCCCAAACTAGGTAACATCATCAGTGTACTGACGATATTACTTAGTTTGGGTAATGAAACGTCTACAAAAAAACAAGCAAACTCAGAGAGCACCAAGGATCTTTCACTGATTACAACCCCCCCCCACACACACTTTTTTCCCAGCAGTTGTTGCTAACCTGTTGTGACCGCTTGGGCAGAGATTGGTCCGAGACGCTGTTTTCCAAAGATACCATAAAGATTGAATTTGTACTTGTGAGAAGGTGATAGATTTGAAACAATGACTTCACGGGAGTCTTCTCTTAAAGGGAGCGCTTGGGGTCTTCCTTCAGCATCTTTGTACTGGACTGAGAAAGCATCAAAGCTTCCCTCTGGGACGGTCCAGGATAGCCGGGCCGAATGACTGGTGACCTCTGAGACGGAAAGTCCGCCCAAGCGAGGGCTTATTCCACCAGAGACCTCCTGGTCCCCATCTCCATTGTCCCCTGGTACTAGAGAGGAAAGAAACATGGTTGAGTGGGTGAGACAGGGAAAGGCCGATGCTGAGATAGAATAAAACACAGGTCGGCAACCCGCAGCTCTGGAGCCGCATGTGGCTCTTTGAGCCTTCTCCTTCGGCTCCCAGCCTCCTCTGCCATTTGCAGAGAAAGAGAGAGACAGAGACAAAGAGAGACACTTGCGCTTCCCTCCCCCCCGGTGTGTGTGTGTGTGTGTGTGTGTGTGTGTGTGTGTGTGTGTGTGTGTGAAAAAGAGAGTGGCCTCACACTGTTCTTGGACAAGCTCCTGCCTTTGCTACGTCTCAGCAGGAAGCAGAAAGCAGCAGCTCTCTCTCTCTCTCTCTCTCTCTTTCACACACACACACACACACACTGAGTGGGGGAAGAGGACTGGCAGACCAAGGGCAGGAGACAGCCAGCCCAATAAGAATGTGTGTCAGCTTGTCGGAGAACAGCGTGAAGCCAGCTTGCCAGGTGAGCAGATCGGAGAGAGGGGGGAAGAGAGAGAGGGGGACAAAGAGAGGGAGAGAGAGATGGAGGGAGGGAGGGAGGGAGGGAGGGAGAGAGAGAGAACTCATGTACAGCAGCCTCTATTTCTTTTTAATTAAACTCTTCAATCAAGCTCCCCCCCCTCTCGCGCGCGCTGTTTTCTTTTCTCTGGGAAACGGGTCCAAATGGCTCTTTGAGTGTTTAAGGTTGCCGACCCCTGGTATAAACCCTCATCTTTCTTTTCAGAGACAAAGTTCACATCAGGAGTTTGTCAAATCTGGTGCCTTCTAAACAAGCCTCCGCACTATAAAAAAGATTTTGAGATTCTAGAAAAAGGGTAGAGAAAAGCTACAAAGATGATTAGGCTGAAACATGAAGAACGGTTAGAGGAATTGGGCACAGTTAGTCTACTGAAGGACTAGGGGAGACATGATAGCCGACTTCCAATATTTGAGGGGCTGTCACAGAGAGGAGGGTGTCAACCTATTTTCCAAAGCATCTGAAGGCCAAACAAGGAATAACAGATGGAAACTGATCAAGGGAGAATTAAGGAGAAACAATCAACCGATGGAACAGCTCATCTTCAGATGTTGTGGGAGCTACATCACTGGAAGCTTTCAAGAAAAGGCTAGACTACCATCTGTGAGAAATGGTGTAAGGTCTCCTGCTTGAGTGGAGGGTTGGACTAGATGACCTACAAGGTCCCTCCAACTCTATTATTTTAATCTATTCTAATCTAATCTAAGTTTGACTAAAACAGCCAGAATTCTCAACCAACACAATGTTGGAAAAGAGTATATAACAATAACAATAATAGAGTGGGAGGGGACTTTTGAGGTCTTCTAGTCAGGAAATCTTATACCATTTCAGATCAGTCTCTTCTTAAAAACTTCCAGTGTTGGAGCATTCACAACTTCTGGAGGCAAGTTGTTCCACTGATTAATTGTTCTAACTGTCAGAAAATTTCTCCTTAGTTCTAGGTTGTAGAATAGAATAGAATAGAGTAGAGTAGAGTAGAGTAGAGTAGAGTAAAATATAGAATAGAATAGAATAGAAAATAGAATAGAATAGAATAGAATAGAATAGAGTAGAGTAGAGTAAAATATAGAATAGAATAGAATAGAATAGAAAATAGAATAGAATAGAAAATAGACTAGACTAGACTAAACTAGACTAGACTATAGACTAGACTAGAATAGGATAGAATAGAATAGAATAGCTCAGATAGTATTAATGGGCATTTGATTCATAAATCTGCTCTGTTCTATAACTGTATATTCCTGTAACTTTGGGAAAAAAATCCAAGCATTTGTGTATTTTCTAACTGTATGTTCTTCCAAAATAGAAGAAGGGAGAGAGAGAGTATGAGAGAGAGAAGGCATGTATTCTGACTTTATTGTTTAATTGAATCAAGAATGACATCGCAATAGGTAAGATGGTTGGCAGACAATTCTGATAAACAAACAAACAAACAAACAAACAAATACAAAGCAAGCTCTCAAATCAATGATCTAAGGAAAGCTATTTGGAAGAGAAATATATGACACGGAGAGGAAAAGGAAAGAAAAATGGCAAAGATTTGTTTAAAACTTGTTTAAACCAGGGGTAGGGAACGATTGGCCCTTTTATGACGTGTGGACTTCAACTCCCAGAATTCCAGAGTCATCCTGGTTCAGGAATTCTGGGAGTTGAAGTCCACAAGTTCTCAAGGTGCCCTCATTCCCCATCCCTGGTTTAAACCTTTTACTCACTCGTGATGGCGCTGACGGTGATTGGTCCAAAACGCCTACGTCCAGAGATGCCGTACAGATGGAACTTGTACCTATGGGAAGGTACCAGGTAATAGATCACAATGGTGTTGGTTTCCTTGTCCACAGGGATCATTTGTGGTTTGTTTTCAGCATCTTTGTATTGGATCTGGAAGGAGTCAAAAGTCTCAGCTGGGACGTTCCAAGAGAGGCGGACTGAGTTGCTGGTAACATCAGACACAGAGAGATCCCCAAAACTGGGATTTGGAGATGGCCCTGGAGATCCGCTCTCCTCTCTGTCCTGACTTGGAGAGGGTGGAGCTGTAAAAAAAAAAAAAAAAGAGGAAGAGGAAGAGTGAAAAAAATGAGGGCTGGGGAAAAGATGATCATTGGCATCCTTCAGTCTCGAGAGACTATGGCAGGGGTGTCAAATTCAATTTCATTGAGGGCTGCATCAGCATTGCGGCTGCCCTCAGGGGGCCGGGTGGGTATGGCCAGGGTGGGTGCGGCCTACTGGGTGGGTGTGGATGAAGTGGGTATAGTCTACTGGGTGGGTGTGGCCAGCTCTACATTGTTCGCGTCAAGGGTGCCTGTGGGGGCCTGGGCAGGAGTGGGACAGATCTGAGGGTCTTCTCTGGCAGAAGGGGGTGGGATTGGGACAAGTGCCAAGGCATGGTCCATTTCTTCATTCCTCATAAAGGGTGACACCTCCCCAGCATGCACCCAGGGGGCGGGGTCGACACGGCAGGGACTGGTTCCTCGCTGTTTCCAGACGGCCTTGTGGAGCTAAGACTGAATGCGTTTCAGCATAGATGGCCACCACAAAATTGTACATTGGCTCCCGGCAGCGGGGGCTGTTCCCTCACTGTTTCCAGGATGGCTTTGCGGGCCACATGAAACCACTTCACGGGCCGCATCCGGCCCCCGGGCCTTGTGTTTGACATGTCTGGATTATGGTATCGTGCTATGGAAAGAGGTCCTAAGGCAGCATCTGGTGTGGCTAAAAAGGCCAATTTGAGAATGGCAGTCCCTTCCACACTGAGGGCAGATACAATCTGTCCCCTGTCCAGCCCCCAGATTTCGCTGGTTCTGGGACTGCCTCTTTGCCTCAGCCTGCCGTACAAGTATCTCTTCGTATTGGAGAAGGCCATGCTGCGTCTTTAGCCTCCAGGCTGAGCGATCAGAGCTCAAGGATTCCCAGCTGTTAATGTCCATTCCCAAGGCCTTTAGGTCCCTCTTGCAGATATCCTTACATCGCAGCTCAGGTCTCCCTCTGGGGCGCTTTCCCTGCACTAGTTCTCCATACAGGAGATCTTTCGGAATCCGACCGTCAGCCATTCTCACGACACGCCCAAGCCAGCGTAAATGTCGCTGTTTCAATAGTGTATACATGCTAGAGATTCCAGCACATTCCAGGACTGCACTATTTGAGACTTTGTCATGTCAGGTGATGCCGAAAATACATTGGAAACAGCGCATATGAAAAGTGTTCAGCTTTCTCTCCTGCCGTATGTGAAGAGTCCAAGACTCACTGCAGTACAAGAGTGTGCTCAAGACGCAGGCTCTATAGACCTGGATCTTTGTATGTTCCGTCAGGGGAAAGATGATTGCAGAGCAAAATCCATGCTGTGGACCTTCTAGAATTTCTCCACCTTGGTAACTTTAAAATATGTGGACTTCAACTCCCAGAATTCCCCAGCTAGCATAGCTGGCTGGGGAATTCTGGGAGTCGAAGTCCAATCACATCTTAAAGTTGCCAAGGTTGAAAAAATACTTGTCCAGCCAACACCTTTATTCGCCCTGATTGAAAATAATGTACACAAATCATCTACCATATGGGTTGCATCTGGCTTGATTTTGGCTTCACTTAAGGTAACCTTATGGATAGAAAAGAAGAGGAATGAACCATCAACAGATAGGGAGAGAGAAAGGGAAGTTTCAAACTGACAAGGATTCTTTCCCCAGACAAGGGACTGCTCAGTCTCTTCTTAAAACAGTGGTTCTCAACCTGTGGGTCGGGACCCCATTTGGGGTCGAATGACCATTTCACGGGGGTTGCCAAACAACGCAGTCCGCCATTTTTTCCCTCTTTTCCTTAGCTGTGCTACTCCCTTTTATTCTATTGCAGTGGTTCTCAACCTGTGGGTCGGGACCCCATTTCACGGGGGTTGCCAAACAAGGCTGTCCACCATTTTTTTCCCCTTTTCTTTGGCCACGCCCCTGGCACCCAGTGATGTATAAGTGGTTGGGGGTCACCACAACATGGGGAACTGTATTATGGGGTCGCGGCATTAGAAAGGTTGAGAACCACTGTTCTATTGGCTTTTGAAAGCCAATAGAATAGACTCTCTTGAATAGAGTCTAATTCTATTGTCTTTCAAAAGCCAATAGGAATTGTCCAGGCTGTCTCTGCCCTGCTGAGCCCACCAAAAGTCCCAGTCTGCAAACGGTGCTGCACCAGTTGAGTAGTCCTCGACTTACGACCAGTTGAGTAGTCCTCGACTTACGACTGGTTGGGGGTCGCGGCATTAAAAAGGTTGAGAACCACTGTCTTAAAACCTTCCAATGATGAAGCACCCACAATAGCAACATCATTTAAGGCCCTTTTATGATTTGTGGACTTCAACTCCCAGATTTCCAGACACACTGGCTGAGGAATTCTGGGAGTCAAAGTCCACAAGTCATAAAAGGGCCAAGTTTGAAGACCCCCCTGATTTAAGGGCATTGTCCCATCTACTGCACGGGTGATGCCCCGCCCGCATTTCCCAACCTCGGTAGCTTTATGATGGCGTGAAATTCAACTCCCAGAATTCCTCAGCCAATTAAAATCCTCACATAGCCAAGGTTAGGAAACCTAGCTGCTCGACGGAAAGACCCACGCTTTCCCATAGCCTAGGGAGGACGGTCAGGAGTGAGTGGATTGTGCTGACCTGTTAAGGCCTCAGCGGAGATTGGGCCCAGGCGTTTGCCACCAGAGATGCCGTAGAGGTCAAACTGGTAATTGTGAGATGGAGTCAGGTTGGAGACCAGTGTTTCACGGGAAGCCCCATCCACAGGCAAGCTCTGCAGAGCTCCGTCTTCATACTGAATCAGGAAGGAGTCAAAGCTCCCCGTTGGGACACTCCAGGAAAGGCGAAGAGAATTGCTGGTGGTTTCAAAGATGGAGAGTTTCCCCAAGCTAGGCTGATTCTCCCCATCTTTGTCTTCTTCCTTCTTCTCCTCTGGTTCAGCTAAAAAAAAAAAAAATGGGGGAGGAAGAGAAGAGATATGATCCCTGTTAAAAATGTCCTCTCAGATTTTTCTACAAAGAGCTAATGGAAAGAAGGTATAGAAAGGGCTCCCCCCAATGAATGAGTGAGAGGTGTCCAAAAGGATGAAATGTTCACAGTGGCATCTCCTGTCTGACCGAGATAATATATTTTTAAATGGAAGAGTAGTTAGGGAATGAAGGACTGTCTCAACGCTGCTAACATCGGATGTTTTTGCATTGGCAACAGATGGAAATGTAGCCATCTTTTTCCTTTTCGCTTTTAGAGTTAGATCAGTGGTTCTCAACCTTTTTAATGCCGTGACCCCCAACCGGTCGTAAGTCGAGGACTACTCAACCAGTCATAAGTCGAGGACCACTCAACTGGTGCAGCACCGTTTGCAGAATGGGACTTTTTGCGGGCTCAGCAGGGCAGAGACAGCCTGGACAATTCCTATTGGCTTTTGAAAGCCAATAGAATTAGACTCTATTCAAGAGAGTCTATTCTATTGGCTTTCAAAAGCCAATAGAATAAAAGGGAGTAGCACAGCTAAGGAAAAGGGAAAAAAAATGGCGGACTGCGTTGTTGGCGACCCCCGTGAAATGGTTATCCGACCCCAAATGGGGTCCCGACCCAAAGGTTGAGAACCACTGAGTTAGATGATGCTGGGAGGAGGGGGGATGTGCATGAGAAGCTAGCTAGACATAACAACACTAAACTTAGTGTGAGAATCAAGATTATTGAGCGCAGAGCTGATAAAGAATTGGCGGGCTGGAGAAGTGGAGAGGAAGCCCATGCTTCAAGCTAATTGGGGAATGTGATTTATGACTGTTAATTGGAGGAGGGAATTGTGCTTTGATACTATGTGGCCAGGGGAGGGGAATTCAGTTTTTGGCTTTGATTAGGCAGTGCCGATGTTACGCTACTCAAAATAAAGATTCTTTAAGGTAAACAATGCCTCGAAATTCTTTTGAAGAGTTTCATCTGTCAGAACCATGACAGACTGCTGTAAGAATCAGGAAATTGGAAAGGGCTTCAAGTAAAGCAGAGATCTGGGGAAGGAGACATTAATCTCCACCTAGAAAATTTCCAGTGAAGGAGAGGCCACCAAATCTGAGTTAACTTGCTGAATAGATTATTCCCCTTCGTAGGTACCTCCCCCCCCCCACAAAAAACCCTATTGTTGTTTGGGATTTGCAGGACTCCACAACATCTGGAAATCCACAGAATCCCAAATCCTGTCTCAGAAGGATTTAAGTGTTTGTTTCAATTGATTGATTATGTGCCATCAAATTGATATCGACTGTTATTGACCACATAAAGGGAGTCCTCAACTTACAACGTTTGCTTAGTGACCATTCAAAGTTACGATGACATTGAAAAAAATGACCTATGACTGTTTTTCACACTTACGACCACTGCAGCATCCCCGTGGTCACGTGATCAACATTGGGACACTTGGCAACTGACTCATGTTTATGACGGTTGCAGTGTCCCAGGATTATGTGATCCGTTTTTGTGACCTTCTGATAAGCAAAGTCAATGGGGGAAGCCAGATTCACTTCACAACTCTGTTACTAGCTTAACAACTGCAGTGATTAACTTAACAACTGTGACAAGGAAGGTCATAAAATGGGGCAAAATTCACTTAACAAATGTTTCACTTAGCAAGATAAATTTTTGGCTCAGCTGTGGTCATAAGTTGAAGACTACCTGTAGACAGATGCTTTTTCAGGTCAATAAAAAAAGTATGGAAATTCACCGTGATGGTCAAACAAGATGTTGCAAAGAAGGAGGAGGAGGAGGAGGAGGAGGAGGAGAAAGAGGTGGTGGTGGTGGTGGTGGAGGAGGAGGAGGAGAAAGAGAAGCAGGAGGAGGAGGTGGAGGAGGAGGAGAAGGAGAAGCAGGAGAAGCAGGAGGAGGAGGAGGAGGAAGAAGAAGAAGAGGAGGAGGAAGAAGAAGAGGAGGAGAAGGAGGAAGAAGAGGAGAAGGAGGAGAACTAACCTGTAGTGGCTTCAGAAGAAATAGGACCAATACGTTTTTGACCAGAAATTCCATAAAGGTTGAACTTGTACTTGTGGGATGGAGTCAGGTTCAAAACGGTGACTTCATGCGAATCTCCCCCCACGGGTAGGGTTTGGATTCTGCCCTCCTCATCTTTATATTGGAGCAGGAAGGAGTCAAAGCTCCCCACAGAGACAGTCCAAGAGAGAAGAACAGAGTTGCGGCTGACCTCAGAGATGGAGAGTTCTCCTAAAGAGGGCTTTGGTGTTACTTCCTTCTTTGTGGTGGATGCTGGGATCAGAAAGGGAAAACAGGAATGAAAATAGTGTCTAACGAGTAATATGAATCAAAGCCAGCTGGGCGACCTTGGACCAGTCCCTCTCTCACAGCCCTGGGAAGAAGGACCAAATGCTTCTGAAATCTTGCCAAGAAGACTTCAGAGATTTACAGTGCAGCCACCAGAGGCCAATGCTGACTCGAAGGCACAAATTACAGTATATATCAGTGGTGGCGAACCTATGGCACGCGTGCCAGAGGCGACACTCAGAGCCCTCTCTGTTGGCACCCACGCCACCACCGCCAGTAGCAGGTCTATCAGGCCACCACCGCCGCCCGGAGCAGGAGCCCCGCCCAGCACAAAGGAGGCGAAGCGGCCACTAGCAAGCTAAAGTAGAAGTGGTACAGCAGAGGTCACCAACCATTGTCGATTGGTGGACTGGAAGAAAAGGGAGGAGGAAGCATTTTACATGCGTGCATGCGCGCATGGGGCCGCGAGCACGCACGCGCTGCAAATGGGGCAGGGCTAGAGCCTGCGTGATACTCATTAGCCCTGCCCTGTTCTTGCGTGGTGCAGCGCCTTGTATCTGCATCCCGTGGTGTGGTGGCGGCCGTTTTTGCGCCTTACAGCGCGGTGGCCCATTTTTGCGCCACCAGTTTTTGCGTGTCAGAGGCGGCACTCAGAGGCGCCTCCCTGCCCCTCCCCTCGAGGGCACCACAATGCTGATGCAGTCCTGGCACTTTGCAGTATATAAGTGGGTTTTGGGTTGTGGTTTGGGCACTCGGTCTCTAAAATGTTTGCCATCACTGGTATATATATATTCATTGTATATGTACAATTATCCCTTCTGTTGTCTCTCCTTCCCCTTCTCCTTCTTCTCCTCTTCCCTTTCCCCTTCTCCTTCTCTTTTTCCTTCCCCTTTCCCTTTCCCCTTCTCTTTCCTTCCATACCCTTCCGTTCCGTTCCCATTATAGGCTGCCCCAATCTGAACAACTTTGGCCGACATACACGAGTGATACAAAGGATGAATATCTTCCTATGTTAAAACAAAGCACGCTCACTATAGTTCTAAGAGAAAGCAATTACTTACAGTAAAAAGCAGACATGCTTTGGAAACATTCTGGAGTCCAAAGGCTCATTGAAAGAAAATAACAATAACAACAACAATAATAATAAAGTTGGAAGGGACCTTGGAGGTCATCTAGTCCAACCCCCTGCTCAGGCAGGAAACCCTATAGCATTTCAGACAAATGGCTGTCCAGTCTCTTCTTAAAAACTTCCAGTGTTGGAGCATTCACTGCTTCTGGAGGCAGGTTGTTCCACTGGTTAATTGTTCTAACTGTCAGGAAGTTTCTCCTTAGTTCTAGGTTGCTTCTCTCCCTGATCAGTTTCCATCCGTTGCTTCTTGTCCTGCCTTCAGGCGCTCTGGAGAATAGCTTGACTCCCTCTTCTTTGTGGCAGCCCCTGAGATACTGGAACACTGCCATCATGTCCCCCCTCATCTTTCTCTTCATTAGACTAGACATACCCAATTCCAGCAACCGTTCTTCTTATGTTTCAGCCTCCAGTCCCCAAATCATCTTTGTTGCTTTTCTCTGCACTCTTTCTAGAGTCTCTACATTTTTTTTACATCGCGGTGACCAAAACCGGATGCAGTATTCCAGGTGTGGCCTTACCAAGGCATTGTAAAGTAGTATTCACGTGATCTTGATTCTATCCCTCTGTTAATGCAGCCCAGCACTGTGTTGGCCTTTTTGGCAGCTGCAGCACACGGCCGGCTCATATTTAAGTGACTGTCCACTAGGACTTCGAGGTCCCTCTCACAGTTACTGCTATTGAGCAAGGCACCCCCTATACTATACCTGTGCATTTGGTTTTTCTTGCCTAAATGTAGAACCTTGCTTTTTTTACCCCAGCCCCGAAAACAGCAACCCGAAAAAGGCACCCAGCTCTGACCTGTGATGGCGTCAACAGAAACGGGGCCCATGCGCTTGCGACCAGAAAGTCCATAAAGGTTGAACTTGTATTTGCGGGAGGGAGCGAGGTTGGGGATGGTCATCTCACGCAGGTCTCCTTCCACCGGAACTGCTTGGGGCTGGCCCTCGGCACCCTTATATTGAATGGCAAAAGAGTCAAAGCGCCCCTGGAGGACAGTCCAGGAGAGACGGACAGAACTGCTGGTGATCTCTGAAGCGGAGACCTCTCCTAGGCTGGGAGGAATCACGGGGTCCTGTCGATCTGGAGCTAAGGAGAGCAAGGAAGAAGGGCCGATCAATTTTTGGATGAGTTCAAGTTGCCAAGTTTGAAAAAAAACAAACCGTAGTACAGGTAGTCCTCCTCTTACGACCGTAACTGAGCCCCAAATTTCTGTTGCTAAGGGAGACGGTTGTTAAATGAGCTTTGCCCCATTTTATGAGTTTCCTTGCCTCACCACAATATAAAAAAGATGTTGAGACTCTAGAAAGAGTACAGAGAAGAGCAACAAAGATGATTAGGGGACTGGAGGCTAAAACATATAAGGAACGGTTGCTGGAATTGGGTATGTCTAGTTTAACGAAGGGAAGGACAAGGGGGGACACGATAGCAGCATTCCAATATCTCAGGGGCTGCCATAAAGAAGAGGGAATCAAGCTATTTTCCAAAGCACCTGAAGGCAGGACAAGAAGCAACGGATAGAAACTAATCAAGGAGAGAAGCAACCTAGAACTAAGGAAAAACTTCCTGACAGTTAGAACAATTAACCAGTGGAACAATCTGCCTCCAGAAACAGTAAATGCTCCAACACTGGAAGTTTTTAAGAAGAGACTGGACAGCCATTTGTCCAAAATGGTGTAGGGTTTCCTGCCTGAGCAGGGGGTTGGACTAGATGACCTCCAAGGTCCCTTCCAACTTTACTACTATTACTATTTTTTAAGCGAATTCCTGCAGCTGTTGTGTTTATTTATTTATTTATGAGACTTATATACCGCTTTAAGTGGAAGCACTCTCTAAGCGGTGTACACCAGTAAGCAATGTATATATATATTTACATTGCCCCCAACAATCTGGGTCCTCATTTTACCTACCCCGGAAGGATGGAAGGCTGAGTCAACCTTGAGCCGGTGAGATTTGAACCTCTGACCTGCTGAACACAGTCAGCTAAAGTGGCCTGCAGTACTGCACTCTAACTGCTGCGCCACCTCGGCTAGTAACACGTTCGTAAAACGAATCCGACTTCCCCCTTTGACTTATTGTCAGGAGGTCGCAAAAGGGGATCACGCGACTCTGGGACACTGCAGCTGTCACAAATACGAGTCAATTGCCAAGCGCCTGGATTTTAACCACGTGATCCTAGGGTTTGCCAGAAGAGTCGTAAGTGTGAAAAGCGGTCATAAGTCACTTGTAAATTTGACCAGTCACTGCTTTCTGGGACAGCCAGAAAGGAATCACAGTACAATATGGGTAGTCCTCAACTTACAGCCACAACTGAGTCAAACATTTCTGTTGCTAGGCGAGTCAGTTCTTGAGTCAATTTTGCCCTGTGTTATGAGCTTTCTTCCACAGTTGTTAAATTAGCAACACAGTTGTCGCCTAAGTGAATCTGGCTTCCCCATTGACTTTAATAATAATAATAATAATAATAATAAAGTTGGAAGGGACCTTGGAGGTCATCTAGTCCAACCCCCTGCTGAGGCAGGAAACCCTATACCATTTCGCACAAATGGCTGTCCAGTTTTTTCTTAAAAACTTCCAGTGTTGGAGCATTCACCGCTTCTGGAGGCAGGTTGTTCCACTGGTTAATTGTTCTAACTGTCAGGAAGTTTCTCCTTAGTTCTACGTTGCTTCTCTCCTTGATCAGTTTCAATTCGTTGCTTCTTGTCCTGCCTTCAGGCACCTTGGAGAATAGCTTGACTCCCTCTTCTTTGTGGCAGCCCCTGAGATACTGGAACACTGCTATCATGCTCCCCCCTCATCCTTCTCTTCGTTAAACTACACATACCCAATTCTAGCAACTGTTCCTTATATGTTTTAGCCTCCAGTCCCCTGTTCATCTTTGTTGCTCTTCTCTGCACTCTTTCAACATCTTTTTTACATCGTGGTGACCAAAATTGGATGCAGTATTCCAAGTGTGGCCTTACCAAGGCATTGTAAGGTGGTATTAACACTTCATGTGATCTTGATTCTGTTAATGCAGCCTAGCACTGTGTTGGCCTTTTTGGCAGCTGCACCACACTGCTGGCTCATATTTAAGTGATTGTCCACTAGGACACCAAGATCCCTCTCACAGTTACTACTATTGAGCAAGGTACCCCCTATACTATACCTATGCATTTGGTTTCTCTTGCCTAAATGGAGAATCTTACTTTTTTCACCACTGAATTTCATTTTGTTGGATAGCGCCCAGTGTTCAGACTTCGCTTGTCAGAAGGTCACAAAAGCGGATCACACAACCCCTGGACACTGCAACTGTCATAAATACAGGCCAGTTGCCAAGTGAGTGAATTGTGATCACGTGACCAGGGGGACGCTGCAATGGTTGTCTGAAAAACAATCCACTTTTTTCAGTGCCGTTGTAACTTTAAATCATCATTAAATGAATTGGCTGTATGTTGAGGACTACCTGTATATTAGAAGCAGGAACAGTGATGGCTGCAGTGACCACCTGATCATATCTACACTTGGTATCCCCAGCTTTCTGGGCCAGCCATGATTTACACCTTTATAAAGGAATCGTGATACAGTCTCACACTAAACCTAACCCCCCCCCCGTTTCCCGCCTCCCAAAAGTGGATGATGTTTTCAGAAAGCGCCTTCAAAGTTATGAAAAGAGCCTCCTCTTGCCGACCTGTGATGGCATCAACTGAAACGGGGCCCAAACGCTTGCGACCGGAGACTCCGTAGAGATTAAACTTATATCTTCGGCCAGGAACCAGCTTGGGGATGAGGACTTCGTAAGAGTTCCCTTCCACGGGGATGGCTTGGAGCTTGCCATCCACGTCCTTGTACTGGATCATAAAAGAATCAAAATTCCCAGCGTGGACAGTCCAGGAGAGAAGCGCAGAATTGTGGGTAAGGTTGGAAACAGAAAGCTCTCCCAAGCTGGGCTGAACTGGTGGTGTCATGGCTAACGGGGCTGAAAAAGAGAGAAGAAATAAAGGAATGAGGACAATCAACCAGGCTGCAGGGGTAGACAACTTTGGCTCTCTTATGACTCGTGGACTTCAACTCCCAGAATTCCTGAGCCAGCCATGCTGAGGGGAAAGGGAGAGGTTTCCAAGCTGAGCCATGCTGGCTCAGGAATTCTGGGAGCTGAAATCCACGAAGCTGAGCCATGCTGGCTCAGGAATTCTGGGAGTTGAAGTCCACGAATTCTGGGAGTTGAAGTCCACGAAGCTGAGCCATGCTGGTTCAGGAATTCTGGGAGTTGAAGTCCACGAATTCTGGGAGCTGAAATCCACGAACCAGGGGAACGGCTTTGCCTTCAGAAGCTGTGGGTGCTCCATCACTGGAGGTTTTTAAGAAGAGACTGGACAGCCACTTGTCTGAAATAGTATGCTGTCTCCTGTTTGAGCAAGGGGGGGGGTTGAGTATAGAAGACCTCCAAGATCCCTTCCAGCTCTATTTTGAATCTGAGGGTAAAAATACAACTGAGTGGAAGAATTCAGGGAAACAAAGATTTCCACGGTTGTTACTAAATAAAATAGTTAAAGGTACTCCTCGTCGTACGGCCACAACTGAGCTGGAAGGAAGGATTATTCTTCTACCTGGAGTCCACACTGTGGAAAGGAAAACTATTGTCCTACTTAGAGTAAATTGGGCTCACGTTATTTAGGAGACACTGGGACCGTGATGATGGGGCTTGTCACAGGTTGAGTTTCTAAAGCCTTAGATCAGGGGTAGGCAACCTTGGCTCTTTTATGACTCGTGGATTTCAACTCCCAGAATTCCTGAGCCAGCCAGCATGTTTTAGATGAAGGGGGGGGGGAAGGTGTAGTTTCTCAGTTAGCCAAAACAATTCAGCTGTGTGAGAACCAAGGTCACTGCTGATAAGGGTTTTGGCTGGCTGGAGAGCTGGGAGGAGAGCCCGTGTTTTGTAACAGTTGGTGAATGCGATTTATGTCATCATAATGGGGTGGGAAATGCAATTGTAACTTTGTAGCCAGAGGGAGGGGATTTTTAGTCTTGGGTTCACCTTAGTATGCGCCAATATCTTGTTTCCTAAATAAAGTGTTCTTTAAGGAAGAAATTCTGGCCTTGAAGTTCTTTTAAATGGTTTCATCTATCGCAGTGGTTCTCAACCTGTGGGTCGGGACCCCATTTGGGGTCGAACGACCATTTCACGGGGGGCGCCAAACCATGCTGTCCGCCATTTTTTTCCCTTTTCCCCAGCTGTCCTACTCCCTCTTATTGGTGGCCACACCCACTTGGGGGTCACCACAAATGGGGAACTGTATTATGGGGTCACGGCATTAGAAAGGTTGAGAACCACTGATCTATCGGAACCGTGACACCAGCAGTTTGAACGTTCAGCAAATATGCTATTTGCTAAGAAAATCTGGAAGGCTAATATAATGTTACAATATCTTAAAAACTCCCAGGCAGAATGTCTTCTGAAACTGACCTGTGGTGGCATCGGTGGAGAGGGGGCTGGAGCGTTTGCGCCCAGAGATTCCATAAAGATTGAACTTGTATCTGCGAGAAGGAGCCAGGTTGGTCACTGTGACTTCATGGGACCCTCCCTCCACAGGCAATGCTTGGGGTTGGCCATCTGCATCCTTGTACTGGATCAGGAAGGAGTCAAAACTCCCAGAGGGGACAGTCCAATAGAGATGGACAGAATCGCTTGTGATGTCAAGGACTGAGAACTCGCCCAGGCTGGGTTGGGCAGGATTGGTCTCCTCCGAATCTGTAAGGTGTGCTAAAAAAGGAAAATGAATGAAGAGGCTTAGTTGGAATTTCCCTGATCTTGGGGATGCCACCTAAAAGCTGGAACAATAAAAAAATATTTGTTAAGGAAATCAAGAACATGAATATGGAGGAAGAATATCTGAAGGGCCTCCAGCCATACTAAATCTTGAAGCTGACCTGTGGTGGTGGCATCAGTGGAGAGGGGCCCGGAGCGTTTGCGCCCGGACACCCCATAGAGGTTGAACTTGTATCTGCGTGAAGGAACCAGCTCGGTCACTGTGACTTCACGGGAGTTTCCCTCCACAGGTAATGCTTGAGGTTGGCCATCTGCATCCTTGTACTGGACCAGGAAGGAATCAAAGGTCCCAGTGGGGACGGTCCAATGGAGACGGACAGAATCACTCGTGACATCAAGAACCGTGAAATCTCCTAGGCTGGGTTGGACAGGAATTGGGTCCTCTGACTCTGTAAGGCGAGCTAAAATAAGGAAATAAACGTAAAAAATTAACTTATAATGTCGCTGGTCTTTGAGATAACACCCAAGCACTGGAACCATCAGCAAAAAGGTTGCTGGTTAAAAAAATCAAGAATGATAATATATAAGAATCCCCAGCCATGCCATATCCTGAAACTGACCTGTGGTGGCATCAGTAGAGAGGGGGCTGGAGCGTTTGCGCCCAGAGACCCCATAGAGGTTGAACTTGTATCTGCGTGAAGGAACCAGGTTGGTCACTGTGACTTCATGGGAGTTTCCCTCCACAGGCAACATTTGGGCTTGGCCTTCTGCATCCTTGTACTGGATCAGGAAGGAGTCAAAGCTCCCAGTGGGGACGGTCCAATGGAGTCGGACAGAGTTGCTTGTGACATCCACAACTGAGAACTGTCCCAGGCTGGGTTGGACAGGAATTGGCTGCTCTGAATCTGGAAGGTGCGCTAAAAACAGGAAAATGAAAGAAAAGAAATATGTATATTAGCCTTGATGTTCAATGTGCTGTCCAGCAGTTGAAACATTCAGCTATTGTGCTATTGGTTAACAAAAGCAATACAGCTAATATGATATTACAATGTCATAAAATCCCCAGGCAGAATGTCTCCTGAAGCTCACCTGTGGTGGCCTCAATGGAGAGAGGGCTGGAGCGTTTGTGCCCAGAGACTCCATAGAGATTGAACTTGTATGTGCGTGAAGGAACCAATTCGGTCACTGTGACTTCACGGGAGTCTCCCTCCACAGGTAACGCTTGAGGTTTGTCATCTGCATCCTTGTATTGGATCAGGAAGGAGTCAAAGCTCCCGGTGGGGACAGTCCAATGGAGACGAACAGAATCGCTTGTGACGTCAAGGATGGAGAGCTCCCCAAGTCTAGGTTGGACATGAATTGCATCTTCTGCCTTTGAAGATGGGTCTAAATCAGATGAAGGGAGCAGCCATAAAAGATAAGTCTTTTAGTACAACTCTTCTACAGTGCTAAGAAAAATTAAGTAAGGCAGCAATGTGTGTCATGGTTCCGAAAAATGAAACTTTTCAAAGAACTTTGAGGCATTTTTGTATCTTAAAAAATCTTTAATTGAGCAGCATAGCTTTGGCACATACATAATTGAAGCCAGAATCTGACTTCCCCTCCCTTCAGCACATAGATCAAAGCGCAATTCCCTCCCACAATTAACAGTCATTAAATCACATTCTCCAATTGGTTTGAAGTGCTGGCTTTCTGCCCAAATCTTTCTCCCGCCATCCCTTATCAGTTCTTATTACAATATTGTATGTTTAACTAACTCCCATCACATTCCTCCCCCTCCCCCATCTAATTCGAAGAGTAAAGTATAAGAAAGAAAAAGGCTGCATCTCCATGTGTTGTCAAAGCAAGAACATCCAATGTTAGCAGCGTTGACAATGTGTTTAAAAAAACAGGAGGCTTCATGCAAAGGGCTGCAAGAAGATGCTTCTACATTTATAGGGAGAAATGAAGGATCCTTACGAAATGATATCAGATGGATAATTTGTAAGGAAAAAAAATCCTCATCTGTGTGTCAGTAGAGGAGATAAAAAACCCACAAAGAGAGAAGTTAAAAACCTTATGCTTCGTCAAAAGCTGGAAAAACAGTGAATGTGGATGATGTGACTACTTCAGCAGCAGGAGTAGAAGAAAGAACTCAAGAAAAATTAAAATGGAGTACATTTTTTAAAAAATTAAAAATGGTAGTACAGAATCGGAAAGCTTCCAATGGACTTCTTACTGTCTCTGACCTGTAAAGGCATCAGCAGAGAGGACGCTGGTCTTTTTGCGTCCAGAGACCCCGTAGAGGAGGAACTTATATCGGTGGGAAGGAGCCAGATTGGACACGGTGACCTCACGGGAACCTCCCTCCACAGGCAACACTTGGGGTTGACCATCTGCATCCTTGTACTGGACCAGGAAGGAGTCAAAGGTCCCAGCGGGGACGGTCCAATGGAGACGGACAGAATTGCTAGTGATGTCCAGAACGGATAACTCTCCCAAGGTTGGTTGGACGGGAATTGCCTCTTCTGAATCTGTGATTTGAGCTAAAAGAGAAATATGGAAATAAAGGTTTGGTTAGAACTGCTTGTTGGAAATGCAATCCAGCAACAGGAACATTCAGCAACAAGGCTGCGTATAAAAGGAACCAAGAATGTTTACATCACCTGCCGCCAGCAAGATTAGCAAAAATGTTTAAAAATATGTCAGATAGATGTTGGAAATGTAAACATAACATAGGCACGTACTATCACATTTGGTGGACTACTGGAGAAAGCTACATATGTAGTTAAAAAAAAAATTGGGTGAACAAGTGGATTTTAAACCTGAACTTTTTTAACTAGGTATTATGCCTGAAAAGACTAATAAGCAGAAATTATATTTAATCTTACACATCACCACAGCAGCGAGAATAATTTTTGCACAATACTGGAAGAATGAAGGATTGCCATCAGAAGAAGAAATAATCAGGAAAATATTGGAATGTGCAGAGATGGACAGATTAACTATGAGGTTGAAAGATAAAGAAGATACAGACTATTATCAAATTTGGGACCTATTTTATTGTTGGCTAGAGCAGTGGTTCTCAACCTGTGGGTCGGGACCCCATTTGGGGTCGAACGGCCATTTCACAGGGGTGGCCAAACAACACAGTCTGCCATTTTTTCCCCTTTTCCTTAGCTGTGCTACTCCCTTTTATTCTATTGGCTTTTGAAAGCCAATAGAATAGACTCTCTTGAATAGAGTCTAATTCTATTGCCTTTCAAAAGCCAATAGAAAATGTCCAGGCTGTCTCTGCCCTGCTGAGCCCGCCAAAAGTCCCATTCTGCAAACGGCTGCATCAGTTGAGTAGTCCTCGACTTACGACCGGTTGAGTAGTCCTCGACTTACGACCGGTTGAGGGTCGCGGCATTAAAAAGGTTGAGAACCACTGGGCTAGAGGAAAGAATGAAGGATTAGGAATTGAACATGTATTAGCATAGCAAACTCCAGACAACTCGTTGATTGGAAAAATTAACATAAGTTTATGAAAAAAAAATCTTTATAAAAAAAAAGATCTTAAAAAAAGAATGTTTACATGATGACACAAGAGTTGAACAGCAACAGTCAAGATGACTTGTGAAGCTGACCTGTGGTGGCATCGGTGGACAGGGGGCCGGAGCGCTTGCGTCCAGAGACTCCATAGAGGTTGAACTTGTATCTACGTAAAGGAGCCAGGTTGGTCACTGTGGCTTCATTGAGGTTTCCTTCCACAGGCAACGCTTGGGGTTGACCATCTGCATCCTTGTACTGGATCAGGAAGGAGTCAAAGCTCCCGGTGGGGACGGTCCAATGGAGTCGGACAGAATCACTCGTCACCTCAAGGACTGAGAAGTCTCCTAGGCTGGGTTGGACAGGAATTGGCTCCCCTGTGTCTCTAATGTGGGCTAAAGCAGAGAAATTTTTTTTAAAAAAAAGGCTTAGTTATAAGAGCTTTGATGTTGGCTATGCAATCCAGAAGCTGCAACATTCAGTAAAAATTGCTGCTTGTTAAGGAAACCAAGAAAGTTAATATGACGTTACAGTATTTGAAACATTCCAACTGCATTAAATCCTTGAAGCTGACCTGTGGTGGCATCAATGGAAAGTGGGGTGGAACGTTTGCGCCCCAAAACTCCATAGAGGTTGAACTTGTATCTGCGAGAAGGAGCCAGCTTGGTCACGGTGACTTCACGGGAACCTCCCTCCACAGGCAACATTTGGGGTTGACCATCTGCATCCTTGTACTGGATCAAGAAGGAGTCAAATCTCCCGGTGGAAACGGTCCAATAGAGACGGACAGAATCACTTGTGACATCAAACACGGAGAATTCCCCCAGGCTGGGTTGAACAGGAACTGCTGTCTCACCATCTGGAATAGGAGCTAGAATATAGAAACAAATGGGAAACTGTTACCATAATCCAGTGATGGTGAACCTTTTAGAGACCGAGTGCCCAAACTGCAACCCAAAACCCACTTATGCATCGTCAAGTGCTGGGTGGGTGTGGCCCATTGGGTGGATGTGGCTACGGTGGTAACGGCAGACTGGGTGGGACTAAAAAGTTCAGTCAATCAATTTCAACTTTTCAAGATCTTTTTTTTCCCCACGAGAAGTTGAAATTGATGGATTGATTGAACCTTTTTTTTTTTCTTGCACACGGCGGTGGAGGCCTAAAACGAAAAGATTTTAGAAAACTCAGCTGAAGGCCTAGGACTGGGGCAACGGCGTGTGTACCCACAGAGAGGGCTCTGCGTGCCACCTCTGGCACCCGTGCCATAGGTTCGCCACCACTGCCATAACCTTTCTCCTGTCTACACAACTGATGTGTTTAGTGCAGTGTTTCTCAACCTTGACAATTTTAAGGCATGTGGCTGTGGAATTCTGGGAGTTGAAGTCCACATGCCTTAAAATTGTCAAGGTTGAGAAACACTGGTTTAGTGTTTATAATTTTAATATGGCTTTTACGCTGTTTTAAGTTTTGACTGGGGGCCACTGAAGATTGCTTATAAGATTGGTGGCTATATAAATTATTGAATGAATAAATAAATTCAGGTGCTGGTACTTTGCTTGATAATGTTTTCTTTCTTTCTTTCTTTCTTTCTTTCTTTCTTTCTTTCTTTCTTTTTTTCTTTCTTTCTTGTCATATTTAGAGACGATATGGAGATGGTGAAATTTCAGTCCCTTACATTAAAAATACGTTTATTGTTCTTGGCTCTGTTGCCATTTCTGCAATCAACTCATTAACAAATGTGGGTTATTTATGCCTATGAGCTGGCTATAGCCCTAAGAGATGAAATCTACATAAAATCCCCAGCAATAAATTTCTGCAATCAAGGAGCTACCAGCCCAACTTTTGAAAATGAATAACTAACTTAGGTAGTGTTTCTGTTAATGGAGTTGGGGAAATCCTGACGACCAGCAAGGTGCACTGGAACTGAGAAATGGATTAAAAGGACAACTGTATTTAAACTTGGATTCAACATAGGGCAGTTGAAGTAGGGAGAATCCATGCTTGAACAGAATATAACCAGCCATCTCTGGGTAATGTCAGCATCTGTAAACTCTTTGATCACAAGAGGTAAAGGTCTCAAGAGAAGACAAAAGAGGTTTTCTACATCTCCCTGTCTTTCTACAAGACTCTGAAGCAATCATTCAAGGTCCAGATTAGCCACTACACTGTGGAATCCATTTTCCCATTAAAAAAAAGTAAGGGAAATCTCAGTTTGAGGGAAACCTCAGTTTGAGGGGCCTCAACAAGTTGAGATGGAGGAGCAGAGGATAACCTGTGCAACATATAACTGTAAAGAAAAGGAGCAACAGAAGAAGGTTAAGGAAGCCTCACAACTATTGGTTTCTGAATCTGCGGGAGAAGTAGGATTTATAAATTTTTTGGAGCAACCTTTAAGGGTAGAATTGCAGTCTGAAGAGCCTATATTAATGAAAAATGGGAAATCTCAGTTTGAGGGGCCTCAACAAGTCGAGATGAAGGAGCAGAGGACAACTCGTGCAACATATAATCGTAAAGAAAAAGAGCAACAGAAGAAGGAGTTTAAGGAAGCCTCACAAGTATTGGCTCCTGAGTCTGTGGGAGAAGCAGGATTTATAAACTTTTTGGAGCTACCTTTAAGGGCAGATTTCAAAGCACTTCTTTCGAGATTTATGGATAAGAGAGACTGACAAGGATGGAGATCGAATGAAAATTCTAGATAAGAAGTTTAAGTTTAAGTACTTAGTTTAAGTATTCAAAAGAGTACTGAGTCTGTGGGAGAAGCAAGATTTACAAACTTTTTGGAGTTAGCTTTAAGGGCAGTTTTCAAAGCACTTCTTTTGAGGTTTATGGACAAGAGAGACTGATAAGGAATGTGTTTATTGTGGATGGAATTTGTTATTGGTAAAGATTTAAATGTGTATAAGGGAATTTTAATGGTTTATGGACAAGAGAGACTGATAAGGAATGTGTTTATTGTGGATGGAATTTGTTATTGGTAAAGATTTAAATGTGTATAAGGGAATTCTAATGTTTTAAGTAATGTTCAAATTTGTGTTTTGGAGGGAGTTTATAAAGAATGATGGAAAATAATATAAGTATGATATGAAAATGTTCAGAGTATATTATGTGTTTAATGATTGGGTTTTTTTTATTTTTTTATTATCATTATTATTATTTTTAAGAGAAGATAACTTGTTTAATTAAATGTACCTAGATTTGTTTAGGATTTATATGTCTTTTAAGTTTTTTTTTTTTTTATAGGAGAGAAGATTATGGAGATTGAATGAAAATCTTAGATAAGAAGTTTAAGTTTAAGTATTTAGTTTAAGTATTCAAAGAGTATTTAGTTTTAATGGTATAATGAAGGTTTATATGTTTATTTTGTGTTCTAGGATAAAGAAAGAGGGAGAGATTAGATTTTATATTGTAGGTATAGATATTCAAAGAAAGTAATGTTTAAATTTGTGTTTTGGAGGGAGTTTATACAGAATGATGGATAATAATATAAGTATGATACTAGAAAATGTTTAGAGTATATTATAATGTGTTTAATGATTGCAATTATTATTTTTTAGAGAAGATAACCTATTTAATTTAATGTATTTAGATTTGTTTAGGATTTATATGTGTTTTAAGTTTTTCTTTTCTTTTTCTGAAAAATTTTAATTAAGCCTGTACTCAGCTCTGGGAAGGTTGGGGGAGGGTTTGGGAGGGTGGGGGGGGTTGGGGAGGGGATTTGTTTTGTAAAATTTAAAAAACTTTCAATAAAAAAAAATTAAGGGAATTTACCCCTTAATATACCTATAATGACGGCTCAATTGAACAAAAGATTGTCCAGGGAGCCAGTGGCACCAGACCTACACCTTTGGGGCAGGAAGAAAACGTATGTTCAATGAGCAGATGAATGGGTTACTACTTGAGGAACATGGAGAGGGAAGGAAGGAAGGAGAAAAAGAAAAAAAGAGACAGGCAAAAAAACACCCCCAGAACTCAACAGAATATGAATGAATGAATGAATGAATGAATGAATGAATGAACTTTTATTATCAAAGTATAACATGTATACAGTGAAATTGGCTGAGCCTCCCTCCGTGCCCCCCCCCCACAACTCACAGTGACTACAAACCCCCAATTTATTACACCCTGTGAGCTAACTGCACAGCATGCTGGCCTCACGAGTCTGTCATGCATAAAATTATGTCCCATTCAAAATGCTGACAGCCCATGGATAAAAGCTGGTCTTCAGCCTATTGGTACGGCTGGCTATTTGTAATATCTGTAAAATATTAGTAAAAGATCCAATTAGCAGGGGCTACTGAAAAGCAACTTATTCATGTTGCGCAGACACTTAGATGAGAGCAATGCTTAAAGAAACCAAGAAGGTTAATAGGAAGGTACACATGCTAAAAAGCCCATAACCACTCTGCTTGCTGCAGCTGACCTGTGGTGGCATCTGTGGAAAGGGGCCTGGAGCGTTTGCGCCCGGAAACACCATAGAGGTTGAACTTGTATCTGCGGGATGGAGCCAGGTCAGTCAATGTGACCTCAGTGGAGTCTCCCTCCACAGGTAACGCTTGAGGTTGGCCATCTGCATCCTTGTACTGGACCAGGAAGGAGTCAAACCTCCCAGTGGAGACAGTCCAATGGAGTCGGACAGAATCACTCGTGATATCAAGGATGGAAAACTCTCCTAGGCTGGGTTGGGCAGGAATCGGCTCCTCTATGTCTGTAAGGCGAGCTAAAACAAGGAAATAAAAGAAAAGGCCAACTTATAATTTCCTTGGTCTTTGAGATAACACCCAAGCGTTGGAACCATCAGTAAAAAGGTTACTGGTTAAGAAAATCAAGATATGGAATAATAATAATAATATTAACAACAACAACAGTAATAGTAATAATAACAACAAATCAACAACAACAACAACAACAACAATAGTAATAATAAAGTTGGAAGGGACTTTGGAGGTCATCTGGTCCAACCCCCCCTCAGGCAGGACACCCTATACCATTTCAGACAAATGGCTGTCCAGTTTCTTCTTAAAAACTTCCAGTGTTTTCCAGTGGAAGAATATTATTAGAAAACGCCCCCAGCCATGCTGTACCCTGAAGCTGACCTGTGGTGGCATCGGTAGAGAGGGGCTTGGAGCGTTTACGTCCTGAGACTCCATAGAGGTTGAACTTGTATTTGCGGGAAGGTGCCAGGTCGGTCACTGTGGCTTCACGGGAGTCTCCCTCCACAGGTAATGCTTGAGGTTGGCCATCTGCATCTTTGTACTGGACTAGGAAGGAGTCAAATCTCCCAGTGGGGACGGTCCAATGGAGATGGACAGAATCGCTTCTGACATCAAGGACGGAGAACTCCCCTAGACTGGGCTGAACAGGAATTGGCTCCTCTATGTCTGTAGTATGGGCTAAAATAGAGAAAGAATAACAGAAAAGTAGAGTTGGAAGGGACCTTGGAGATCTTCTAGTCCAAACACCTGCAGAGATAGAAAACCCTTCAGACAAATAGTTATCCAGTCTCTTCTTTAAAACTTCCAGTGTTGGAACATTCACAGTTTCTGGAGGCAGGTTGTTCCACTGGTTAATTGTTCTAACTGTCAGGAAATTTCTCCTTAATTCCAGGTTGCTTCTCTCCTTGATTAGTTTCTATCCGTTGCTTCTTGTCCTGCCTTCAGGCGCTTTGGAGAATAGCTTGACTCCCTCTTCTTTATGGCAACCCCTGAGATATTGGAACACTGCTATCATGTCCCCCCTCGTCCTTCTCTTCATTAAACTAGATATACCCAATTCCAGCAACCTTTCTTTATCTGTTTTAGCCTCCTAATCATCTTTGTTGCTCTTCTCTACACTCTTTCTAAAGTGTCAGTATCTTTTTTACATTGTGCTGACCAAAAGTGGATGCAGTATTCCAAGTGTGGCCTCATTAAGGCATGGTTAAGTGGCATTAACACTTTACGTGATCTTGATTCTAGCCCTCTGTTCATGCAGTCTTAGAACTGTGCCAGCATTTTTGACAGCTGCAGCACACTGCTGGATCATTGTCCACTAGGACTCCGAAATCCTTCACCAAAAGACAAAGAAAAGGCTCAGTTACAGTTGCATTGATGTTGGAGATTACAACTAGGTCAGGGGTAGGCAACCTTGGCTCTTTTATGACTCGATGACTTCAACTCCCAGAATTCCTGAGCCAGCCATGCTGAAGGAAAAGGGAGAGGTTTACAAGCTGAGCCATGCTGGCTCAGGAATTCTGGGAGTTGAAGTCCATGAGTCATAAAAGAGGCCAAGGTTGCCTACCCCTGATCTAGGTGATGGAACATTTAGCAAATATGCTTCTTGTATCCTTTGGGCCGGAAGGAAATTAGAAATGTTAATACATAAATAAAAGAGATGGAAAGCTCACAGACATGCTAAATCCTGAAGCTGACCTGTGGTGGCATCGGTGGAGAGGGGGCTGGAGCGTTTGTGCCCAGAGATTCCATAAAGATTGAACTTGTATCTGTGAGAAGGAGCCAGGTTGGTCACTGTGACTTCACTGAAGCTTCCCTCCACAGGCAATGCTTGGGATTGGCCATCTGCATCCTTGTACTGGATCAGGAAGGAGTCAAAGCTCCCAGTGGGGACGGTCCAATGGAGACGGACAGAATCGCTTGTGACCTCAAGGACTGAGAACTCGCCCAGGCTGGTTTGGACAGGATTTGTCTCCTCCGAATCTGGAAGGTGGGCTAAAACAGGAAAATTAATGAAAAGGCTTAGTTGGAATTTCCCTGATCTTTCAGATGTCACCTAAAAGCTGGAACAATAATAAAAAAAACTGTTAAGGAAATCAAGAACATGAATATGGAGGAAGAATATCCGAAGGGCCTCCAGCCATACTAAATCCTAAAGCTGACCTGTGGTGGCGTCAGTGGAGAGGGGCCTGGAGCGTTTGCGCCCGGAGACCCCATAGAGGTTGAACTTGTATCTGCGAGAAGGAGCCAGGTTGGGCACTGTGACCTCAGTGGAGCCTCCCTCCACAGGTAACGCTTGAGGTTGGCCATCTGCATCCTTGTACTGGACCAGGAAGGAATCAAAGCTCCCAGTGGGGATGGTCCAATGGAGTCGAACAGAATCACTTGTCACCTCAAGGACAGAGAACTCCCCTAGGCTGGGTTGGATGGGAATTGCCTCCTCTGTGATTTGAGCTAAAACAAATATATGGAAAAGAAAAATGCTTGGTTCAAATGTCTGGCTGTTGGAGATGCAACCTGGGAGCCGAAAGATTCAATAAGATGTTCCTTGCAAAAGAATGTTAATGTTAAGGTAGAGAACATTAATATGAAGATAGAAGAGATGATTCACACTCCGGAAACTGACCTGTGGAGGCATCTGTGGAGAGGGGGCTGGACCGCTTGTGCCCAGAGACTCCGTAGAGGTTGAACTTGTATCTATGAGAAGGAGCCAGGTTGGTCACAGTGACTTCATTGGCGCCTCCCTCCACAGGCAACATTTGGGGTTGACCATCTTCATCCTTGTACTGGATCAGGAAGGAGTCAAAGCTCCCAGTGGGGATGGTCCAATGGAGTCGGACAGAGTCGCTTGTGACATCCACAACTGAGAACTGCCCCAGGCTGGGTTGGACAGGAATTGGCTGCTCTGAATCTGGAAGGTGCACTAAAAACAGGAAAATGAAAGAAAAGAAATATGTATATTAGCCTTGATGTTCAATGTGCTGTCCAGCAGTTGAAACATTCAGCTAATGTGCTATTGGTTAACGAAAGCAATACAGTTAATATGATGTTACAATGTCATAAAATCCCCAGGCAGAATGTCTCCTGAAGCTCACCTGTGGTGGCATCAGTGGAAAGAGGGCTGGAGCGTTTGTGCCCAGAGACTCCATAGAGATTGAACTTGTATGTGCGTGAAGGAACCAGCTCGGTCACTGTGACTTCACGGGAGTCTCCCTCCACAGGTAATGCTTTAGCTTGGCCATCTGCATCCTTGTAATTGATCAGGAAAGAGTCAAAACTCCCAGTGGAGACGGTCCAATGGAGTCGGACAGAATCACTCGTGACATCAAGGATGGAGAAATCTCCTAGGCTGGGTTGAACAGGAATTGGTTCCCCTGTGTCTCTAATGTGGGCTAAAGCAGAGAAATTTTAAAAAGGCTTAGTTATAAGAGCTTTGATGTTGGCTATGCGATCCAGAAGGTGCAACATTTAGTAAAAATTGCTGCTTGTTAAGGAAACCAAGAAAGTTAATATGAAGTTAAAGTATTTGAAAAGTTCCAACTGCACTAAATGCTGAAGCTGACCTGTGGTGGCATCAGTGGAAAGCGGGGTGGAACGTTTGCGCCCAAAAACTCCGTAGAGGTTGAACTTGTATCTGTGTGAAGGAACCAGGTTGATCACAGTGACTTCACGGGAGTCTCCCTCTACAGGCAACGATTGGGGTTGACCATCTGCATCCTTGTACTGGATTAAGAAGGAATCAAAGCTCCCGGTGGGGACGGTCCAATGGAGTCGGACGGAATCACTTGTGACGTCAAGGACTGACAACTCCCCAAGACTAGATTGAAGAGGACTTGTGTCCTCTGGACCTGTAAGATGGGCTAAAACAGGAAGAAATGTGGCAAATTGTGGAAACAGCAGTGATGGTTCATTTTTGTCGTTCTGTATTTTCTAAATACTTCAAACCACAAAGTAAAATAAAATTTAGGGAAGGAGAACCCTTTAAAAATAAAGGACTTTAAAATTTTCCTGGGTAGGGTTTTATAGGGGAATAAATTCTGTCCTTCTCCTGAGCTTTCTTGGATAAAAAGTAATACAGGTGATCCTCACTTACTGACCACAGATATCCATGGATATACAGGATACATGGGTACTTTAAAAAATGTATTAATGTATATTCTCATGGATAAAGTCATTCACGGATAAGCCGGACCCAATTTGGGGGGCAAGTTTTGGCAACTGTAATTCTCGGCTTAACCATGAGTATATACAGCATGTGAGAAAGTATTTTGGGCTTTTTATCAATAATATAGCAATTACAAATGAAGGCAAATATGTGTGTTCTGGGATAATGTTGCAGGATCCAATCTGGGTCATTTATCAGCACCAGAGTTTTTCTCTTCCAGGCTTTCTGATTCATGCTGGAGCCCATATCCTCAAGGTGCTTCTCTCACCAGAATGTGAGAGAGAGACACACACTCTGCAAGAGAAAAGTTCCCTGAGAATGGGCTCCAGCATGAGTCCAAAAGATTGGTCCCGATGACCGATCCAGATTGGATCCTGCAATATAGCAATTGATGTAATTGATTGTCAAGGTAATGGTTTAAAAGCTAACCAGCTGATATAAGATATATGATGTAATGATGGGAATGACTCAGCAGGGTCTATGTCCCTTTAAGAGCCAGCTGGGTCTGTGCCCCTTAAAGAGCTTTGTATAAAAGGGAAGACTCTGCAGATGTGTGTTCTCGCTTCTGTTTCCTGCTGTAACTGCTGTGGGATGGAGACTGCTGTATTAACATGTGTATGTATATTGTTCCTGGTGTATGGTATTGTAGATATTGTAAGATAAACCACCATTTTATATAGACAACTGTTTACCGTGTTTACCCCTGGGTTATCTCAGTGCAATAAGAGTGGGCATGCTCTGACATTGATTACTAAAATGCCTAAAAAATTGAGAGGGTGCAAAAGTTTTGGCAGCCATGTGCCTGTTTTGGAAGAGATCCCTATGATAATTTGAAGAGGACCATTTTAGGAAGCTTAGCATTACCTTCTTGGTAATCCTGTTCTTGTTTGTAATGTGAAGTCTGGTTGTGAAAGTTTCAAACAACAACAAAAATTAGAATTCCAGATATGCCTATCTATAAGTGACAAAACCTAACCTCCCCTCCTCCATAACCAGTAAACTCCTCTCCAGGTAAAATATTTAGACAGTGAGACTTGGAAAGGAGAAGAAGGCAAATAAGTTGCCATTTTTAAAGTATTTTTTTGGCTGTCGTGTTTTGGGCTGTCAATTTTTAAGTTAAAAAAAAAACCAGGAAATGCATTTTTAAGTATTTATCAATAAAATAGATTGGGAAGCTATTTCTCATTAAGTAATCTGAAGTGTTTTCAAGGCTTTTTGCTCATAACACTCATCAAAAGCAACACGTAAAGAATTAATTAAGTGATAGTTGCAATTAAGATTGCTGGGAGAAATATCAACAACCTAAGATATGCAGATGATACTACTCTAATGGCAGAAAGTGAAGAGGAACTAAATAGCCTCTTGATGTGGGTGAAGAAGGAGAGTGCAAAAGTTGGCTTGAAACTCAACATTAAGAAAACCAAAATCATGGCATCCGGCCCTCTCAATTCCTGGCAAATAGATGGGGAAGAAATGGAGGTAGTGACAGATTTTATTTTTCTGGGCTCCAAGATCACCTCAGATGGGGACTGCAGCCAAGAAATTAAAAGACGCTTGCTCCTGGGGAGGAAAGCTATGGCAAATCTAGACAGCATTCTAAAAAGCAGAGACATCACCCTGCCAACAAAAGTACGCATAGTCAAGGCCATGGTTTTCCCAGTTGCAATGTATGGCTATGAAAGTTGAATCATAAGAAAGGCTGAGCACCAAAGAATTGAGGCCTTTGAACTATGGTGCTGGAGAAGACTCCTGCGAGTCCCCTGGACTGCAAGGTGATCAAACCGGTCAGTCCTAGAGGAGATCAACCCCGACTGCTCTTTAGAAGGCCAGATCCTGAAGCTGAAACTCAAATACTTTGGCCACATAATGAGAAGGAAGGACTTTCCGGAGAAGAGCCTAATGCTGGGAAAGATTGAGGGGAATAGAAGAAGGGGACAACAGAGAGTGAGGTGGCTGGATGGAGTCACTGAAGCAGTAGGTGTGAGCTTAAATGGACTCCAGAAGATGGTAGAGGACAGGAAGGCCTGGAGGAACGTTGTCCATGGGGTCACAATGGGTCAGACACGACTTCGCAACTTACAACAACAGTTAGCTTGCTCCTATGTGTTCTTTCTTTATTCACCCTTTATGCTATGCATTCTACTTCTACAAAGCCCTAATTAATGGAAAGTCCCATTACAAGTTCCAAAGTTGAAAGACTAACAACACGAAAATCTAATTCTGCTAGTCTGGAATTTAGCAAAATGAATTTTTCTACATGGCCATCTAATTTTGTCAAAGATAACACGCAAAACTTTGAAAAAGAACTAAAAAGCAGAACTTTAGTTCTAATACAAAACAAAGTGACTAGCATTCTGTCCCTCAGTTTCCCTTCTCTGTGAGTAAATGTGCAAGGGACTCCAAATTTTATAATTGAAGCGGGAACTACACTCTCACACAGATTAAGTAAAAGCCATTTTATTCCCACACTAGCAGAAAATAAACTCATTGTTTCCAGATTAATAAACTCAAAGTTGAAAACTGTTACCCAACTAAACTAGACTGCAATTTGAGCAATGCGCAGTAAGATAGGTAGACGGGTAGACAGACAGTTATGGAGGAGGGAGAGAGGCCAACAAAAAGACATGAAAGAAACAGATTCATGGATAAAGACTTTTGGACCTGTAAATCTAATGAACACCAACTATGCACCTAGAACTTTATAATTTGATTGGAGAAGAAAACTCATTGCTCATAGGATGGAAATCTGGAGCACCATAAGAAAAAACTGAATCATTCATTCACAAGCCGATTATGTAACTTCTCAAACTCATGGCTGTAGAATCAGGCATAAATCAATGAAGAAGATAACAGCAAAAGTGAAACAGGAAAGAAAAATCACCAAATATTTGAAAAAAGTCCAAGATTAGGAATATGAAACGAGGAATTGCAAAACAGGGGAACCATCTCACACATCAAAGCTGCTAATTGAGGGGAAGAATGTTAAAATGAGTCTGCAATTTCTGAATGGCTTCAACCTAAATTGACTCCTGAAGCTGACCTGTGGTAGCATCGGTAGAGAGGGGCCGGGAGCGTTTACGCCCCGAGATTCCATAGAGGTTGAACTTGTATCTGCGTGAAGGAACCAGGTTGGTCACGGTGACTTCTCGAGAATTTCCTTCTACAGGTAACGCTTGAGGTTGGCCATCTGCATCCTTGTACTGGACCAGGAAGGAGTCAAAGTTCCCAGTGGGGACGGTCCAATGGAGATGGACAGAATCGCTTGTGACGTCCAGGACGGAGAACTCCGCCAGGCTGGGTTGGATAGAAATTTCCTCCTTTGAATGGGTAAGGTGAGCTAAAACGGGGCAGACAAATGTTTAGTTAAAATTTCTCTGCTCTTGAAGATGTCACTCAAGAACTGGAACAATCAGTAAAAAAATTTCTTGTTAAGGAAGTTAAGACTGTTAATATGGAAGAATAAAATCTGAAGAACCCCCAGTCACACCGTATCCTGAAGCTGACCTGTGGTGGCATCAGTGGAGAGGGGCCTGGAACGTTTGCGCCCAGAGACTCCATAGAGGTTGAACTTGTATCTGCGTGAAGGAACCAAGTCAGTCACTGTGACTTCATTGAAGACTCCCTCCACAGGCAATGCTTGGGATTGGCCATCTGCATCCTTGTACTGGACCAGGAAGGAATCAAAGTTCCCAGTGGGGACGGTCCAATGGAGACGGACAGAATCGCTTGTGACGTCAAGGACGGAGAATTCTCCTAGGCTGGGTTGGACAGTGGTAGCCTCCTTTGAAACTGTAATATAGAGGGGGGGGGAGGGAAGAAAGACTTAGTTAAAATTGTACTGACGTTGTAGATAAAATCCAGCAGTTCTAATATTCAGCAACTAAGCTATTTCTTAAGGAAATCAGAGATGTTAATATGATGTTAGAATATCTTAAAAGCTCCCAGGTAACATGTCATTTGAAGCTGACCTGTGGTGGCATCAGTAGAGAGAGGGCTGGAGCGTTTACGCCCAGAGACTCCGTAGAGATTGAATTTGTATCTGTGTGAAGGAACCAGCTCAGTCACTGTGACTTCACGGGAGTCTCCCTCCACAGGTAACGCTTGAGGTTGGCCATCTGCATCCTTGTACTGGACCAGGAAGGAATCAAAGGTCCCAGTGGGGACGGTCCAATGGAGACGGACAGAATCACTCGTGACATCAAGGACGGAAAACTCGCCTAGGCTGGGATGGGCAGGAATTGGCTTCTCTGAGTCTGTAAGACGGGCTAAAATAAGGAAATAAAAGAAAAAACTAACTTATAATTTCCCTGGTCTTTGAGATAATACCCAAGTGCTGGAACCATCAGCAAAAAGGTTGCTGGTTAAAAAAATCAAGAATGAGAATACATAAGAACCCTCAGCCATGCCATATCCTGAAACTGACCTGTGGTGACATCAGTAGAGAGGGGGCTGGAGCGTTTGCGCCCAGAGACCCCATAGAGGTTGAACTTGTATCTGCGTGAAGGAACCAAGTTGGTCACTGTGACTTCATGGGAGTTTCCCTCCACAGGCAACACTTGCGGTTGGCCATCTGCATCCTTATATTGGATGAGGAAGGAGTCAAAGGTCCCAGTGGGGACGGTCCAATGGAGACGGACAGAATCACTTGTGACATCAATAACTGTGAAATCTCCTAGGCTAGGTAGGACAGGAATTGCCTCCTTTGAATCTATGATGAGAAAAAAAAAAGAAAGGAAGGAAGGAAGGAAGGAAGGGAGGAAGGAAGGGAGGAAAGGAGGAAGGGAGGAATAGTTAGAAATCCACTGATGCTGCAGATGCAATCCCGCAGTTTGAACGTTCAGCAAATATGCTATTTGTTAAAAAAATCTGGAAGGCTAATATGATGTTACAATATCTTAAAATCTCCCAGGCAGAATGTCTTCTGAAACTGACCTGTGGTAGCATCAGTGGAGAGGGGGCTGGAGCGTTTGCGTCCAGAGATTCCATAAAGATTGAACTTGTATCTGCGAGAAGGAGCCAGGTTGGTCACTGTGACTTCACGGGAGTCTCCCTCTATAGGCAACACTTGGGGTTGGCCATCTGCATCCTTGTACTGGATCAGGAAGGAGTCAAAACTCCCAGTGGGGACGGTCCAATAGAGACGAACAGAATCGCTTGTGACCTCAAGGACTGAGAACTCGCCCAGGCTGGTTGGGACAGGATTTGTCTCCTCTGAATCTGGAAGGTGGGCTAAAACAGGAAAATGAATGAAAAGGCTTAGTTGGGATTTCCCTGATCTTTCAGATGTCACCTAAAAGCTGGAACAATAATAAAAAAAACTGTTAAGAAAATTAAGAACATGAATATGGAGGAAGAATATCTGAAGCGCCTCCAGCCTTACTACATCCTAAAGCTGACCTGTGGTGGCGTGAGTGGAGAGGGGCCCGGAGCGTTTGCGCCCGGAGACCCCATAGAGGTTGAACTTGTATCTGTGAGAAGGAGCCAGGTTGGGCACCGTGACTTCACGGGAGCCTCCCTCCACAGGTAACGCTTGAGGTTGGCCATCTGCATCTTTGTACTGGACTAAGAAGGAGTCAAATCTCCCAGTGGGGACGGTCCACTGGAGACGGACAGAATCACTCGTGACATCAAGGACGGAAAACTCTCCTAGGCTGGATTGGACAGGAATTGGCTCCTCTATGTCTATAAGGCGGGCTAAAACAGAGGAGAAAAAAAGAAAAAAAACTTAGTTACATTTTCCTGGTCTTGGAGAGCCGTCTAGGAGGTGGAGTAATCAATATTTTTTTTGCTTATTAAGGAGATCAAGACAATGAATACAAAATAATATCTGAACTGCCCTGTGGAAGAACTTCCTGAGCAGTTTAAAAGTGCCTGTATTCCCTGCTTGCATTCCCCTCTCAGCCTTCCCCATTGTCATAGCAACTGAGCTGCCAATCAAAGAACAGTTCTCAATGAAGCAGCAGTTTAGGGCAGGAGGGGAGAGGGAAGGAAGGCAAGATGGCTGCCAGGGAGCATTGCTTCCTCAGTCCTCATGAAGAAGAGGCTGAACAAGCGAAGCCAAAGCCCTGGAGAAATAACAAGGCAATTACTAAAAGATAGACTGCCCTGATGAGGAGAGGCAAATGAAAGAAGAAGGCAACTGAGAAAACTGGGGAGAGAGGCATTTATTTCCTTCCCTCAGAGCTGGAGGGAGGGAAAAATTCTTCAAGCCATTTCCCTCAGATGCAGTAAAGTTTCAAAAGAGGAAGAGTCAACAAGCCTTGCCAGGAACCGACCAACAGAAAAGACAAAGAAAAAGCCAAGTTTTGGACTGAATAACAATAGAAAATAAAATAAAAGAAGATAAAAAGACAAATCAAACTCTGCAAAAAAGAGGATAGCTCCATTGTGAGTGCCAATATAGTGCCATACAAGCTGTCCTCCCTTAACGACCACTCGTTCAGTGACCTTTTGAAGTTAAAGTGCTGAATGAGGGGACTCACGATGGGTCCTCATAGCTGCCCTGTCACACTGTCCCCATGTTATATGATCATGATTTGAGTACACAGCATGCTAGCTTATGAAGCTGACCTGTGGAGGCATCTGTGGAGAGGGGGCTGGAGCGTTGGTGCCCAGAGATTCCATAGAGGTTGAACTTGTATATGTGGGAAGGAGCCAAGTTGGTCACTGTGACTTGATTGGAGTCTCCTTCTAGGGGCAACTCTTGAGGTTGTCCATCTGCATCCTTGTACTGGATCAAGAAGGAATCAAAAGTCCCTCTGGGGACAGTCCAATGGAGTCGGACAGAATTACTTGTGACATCAACAACTGAAAACTTCCCCAGGCTAAGTTGGGTAGGAACTGGTTCCTCAGAGTCTGCCAAGTGAACTAAAACAAGGAAAAGAAAGAAAAGCCTCAGTTATAATGTCTCTGGTCTTGGAGACGCAACCCAAGCGGTGGAACAACCAATAAAAAGGTAACTTGTTAAGGAAATCTTAATCTTCCAAATTAACCTTCCAAAGGTTGACGTGGAAGAATAATATCTGAAAAGTGCTCAACCATGCTAAATACTGAAGCTGACCTGTAGTGGCATCAGTGGAGAGGGGGCTGGAGCGCTTGTGCCCAGAGACTCCGTAGAGGTTGAACTTGTATCTGTGAGAAGGAGCCAGGCCGGTCACAGTAACTTCATGAGATCCTCCCTCAACTGGCAAAGCTTGAGGTTGGCCATCTGCATCCTTGTATTGGATCAAGAAGGAGTCAAAACTCCCAGTGGGGACTGTCCAATAAAGATGGACAGAATTGCTTGTGGCATTAAGGATGGAAAACTCCCCTAGGCTGGGTGGAACAGGAACTGGCTTCTCTGAGTCTGCAAAGCGGACTAAAACAGGGGGGGAAAAAAAGAAAAGGCTTAGTTCTAATTTCACTGGTGTTGGAGATGCAATCCAAAAGTTGGAACGGTCAAAAAGGGTAGTTGTTAAGAAAATCAAGAACGTTACTATGAAAGAATATTATCTGAAGAGTGCCAAGCCATGCTAAATCTAAAGCTGACCTGTGGTGGCCTCGGTGGTGAGCGGCCTGGAACGTTTTTTCCCAGAGACCCCGTAGAGGTTGAACTTGTATCTGCGGGAAGGAGCCAGATCGGTCACCGTGACCTCAGTGGAGCCTCCCTCCACAGGCAGAGCTTGGGGCTGGCCATCTGCATCCTTGTATTGGATCAGGAAGGAGTCAAAGCTCCCGGTGGGGACGGTCCAATGGAGACGGACAGAATCACTTGTGACATCAAGGACTGACAACTCCCCCAGGCTGGGCTGAACAGGAATTTGCTCTTCTGAATCTGTAAGGCGAGTTGAACCGGAAAACGAAAGAAAAGGGATGGTTAGAATTCCATTGAGGTCGCAAATGTAATCCAAATGTAGACGGAAAAATCAACGAATATGCTATACATTAAGGAAATCAATAATACTAACGTGGTTTTAAAATCTGCCGGGCAGAGAAGTGCCTGAAACTGACCTGTCGTGGCAAAAGTAGAGATAGGGTTGGAGCGTTTGCGCCCTGAGACTCCATAGAGATTGAACTTGTATCTGCGCGAAGGAACCAGGTTGGTCACAGTGATTTCACGGGAGTCTCCCTCTACAGGCAACGCTTGGGGTTGACCATCTGCATCCTTGTACTGGATCAGGAAGGAGTCAAAACTCCCGGTGGGGACAGTCCAATGGAGTCGGACAGAATCACTTGTGACATCAAGCGCTGACAGTTCTCCCAGGCTGGATTGGAAAGAAGCTGGCTTCTCGGGCTCTGTGGTTTGAGCTTAGAGAGGAATATGGAAGAAAAGCTTGATTAGAATGTCTGACTGTTGGAGATGCAACCCAGGAGTGGAAACATTCAATAACCAATCTGCTTATTAAAGAAACTAAGAATATTAATATGAAGTTATACAGTAGTGGCCAAAATTGTGGAAACCTTTTGGGAAAAGTGTATTTTTGAGGTTTGATGGCTAAGAACACCATTTTCTTTGGAGTAGTACCATAAAATTATATATCAATGGAAAGATAATTTAATCAAGAATGTGATGCAACAAAGATTGTTCAATTATCTGTATTCTATGAAAAGTTATAGCCATGTAACCAGAAAATGGAAACACAACTTGCTTAGGTTGATATCAGGTAGCTTTCCTTTATCTGATTGTAGCCAATGAGCATGAGTGTTTAGAGAGCCAATCAAGTGTCATCTTGTTTCGGCAATGAGCCAATCAGATCACAGTAGGATTCAGTTATTGATGTCATGTATTGAAGCTGAGAGGAGGACATTTGTCAGTGTGTTATGTGATCGCTGTCAAGTTGGTTGAGGTTTTTTTGTGTGTTCTTTCATTTAGTGAGCATATAAAACGAAATAAAATTAAAGTAATGGTGCAAAGAGTTGACTGGTTGCCCAGAAAGTGATGTAAAATAGTATCATTAAGTGAACAAGGCTACAGTTATAAAGAAATTAGAAGAAAAATTGGTAGAACTGAACCAAAGGTGGCATTTGTACTGTACACTTTTCCCAAAAGGTTTCCACAATTTTGGCCACTAATGTAAGAAATAAAAAATCTCAGCACACTGACTCCTGAAGCTGACTTGTGGTGGCATAAGTAGAGGGGGGGAGGCATAGTGTTTTTGTACAGAGACTCCATAGAGGTTGAATTTGTATCTGTGGAAGGAGCCAGGTTGGTTACAATGACTTCATTGGAGCCTCCCTCAACAGGCAGGGCTTGGGGTTGGCCATCTGCATCTTTGTATTGTACCACAAAGATGTCAAAGCTCCCAGTAGGGATGGTGCAATAGAAATGGACTGAATCACTTGTGCCATCAAGGACCGAGAAGTCCCACAGGCTGGATTGGACAGGAACTGCATTCTCAATACTTGGAATTGGGGCTAAAAGAGAGAAATAGAAGGAAAAGGTTACAATAATCTTTGTGGTAGTAAAACTTAAATCAGTATTGTGTTTAGAAAATATTTCTGAATAGTTTGATGTTTTTCTAGTATTGCTAATTTTGAGATTATATTAAGAGGTTGATAATATGACACTAGTTTCTTTATGTTCAGAATGTCCCTATTGTACTTGGTTTCATTCCCAATCTTGGATTTTATCAAGACTTTTAAAAATGAGAATTATTTAGACCTATAAAGGCTGAGTGCCAAAGAATTGAGGCCTTTGAACTATGGTGCTGGAGAAGACTCCTGCGAGTCCCCTGGACTGCAAGGCGATCAAACCAGTCAGTCCTAGAGGAAATCAACCCTGACTGCTCTTTAGAAGGCCAGATCCTGAAGTTGAAACTCAAATACTTTGGCCACCTAATGAGAAGGAAGGACTCACTGGAGAAGAGCCTAAGGCTGGGAAAGATTGAGGGCAATAGGAGAAGGGGACGACAGAGAATGAGGTGGCTGGATGGAGGCACTGAAGCAGTAGGCGTGAGCTTAAATGGACCAGAAGATGGTAGAGGACAGGAAGGCCTGGAGGAACGTTGTCCATGGGGTTGTGATGGGTCAGACATTACTTCACAACTAACAACAATAAACTGGCTACAACCCTGTCAGGAGAATCTTCTGTTGAAATATTCCAAAGGGGCCAGGCAAAACAACAAAAATCCAGCACAATATCACCAAAAGATCCAACTTGCAGGACCTAGTATGAAACAAGATATTGAAGTGTTAGGCGACTATTGCAGCAATAACACTGCTTATTAAGGAAACCAATCATGCTAATATCAAGGTACAATATCTGAAAATCTCACAATCCTTGAAGCTGACCTGTAGTGGCATCAGTGGAAAGTGGGGTGGAACGTTTGCGCCCTGAGACTCCATAAAGATTGAACTTGTATCTGCGAGAAGGAGCCAGGTTGGTCACAGTGACTGTGTTGAAGCTTCCCTTCACAGGCAACATTTGGGGTTGCCCATCTGCATCCTTGTATTGGATCAGAAAGGAGTCAAAACTCCCAGTGGAGACGGTCCAATGGAGTCGGACAGAATCATTCGTGACATCAAGGATGGAGAAATCTCCTAGGCTGGGTTGAACAGGAATTGGTTCCCCTGAACCTCTTATGTGGGCTAAAGCAGAGGGAAAAAATAGGCTTAGTTATAAGAGCCTTGGCGTTGGATATGTAATCCAGAAGCTGCAGCATTCAATAAAAATTACTTGTTAAGGAAACCAAGAAAGTTAATATAAAGTTACAGGATTTGAACAGTTCCAACTGCACTAAATACTGAAGCTGACCTGTGGTGGCATCAGTGGAAAGCGGGGTGGAATGCTTGCGTCCAGAGATTCCATAGAGGTTGAACTTGTATCTGCGAGAAGGAGCCAGGTTGGTCACAGTGACTTCATTGAAGCTTCCCTCCACAGGCAGTGCTTGGGGTTGGCCATCTGCATCCTTGTACTGGATCAGGAAGGAGTCAAAGCTCCCAGTGGGGACGGTCCAATAAAGACGGACAGAATTGCTCGTGACGTCAAGGACTGAGAACTCGCCCAGGCTGGGCTTAATCGCTATCGTCTCATCTGGTTTCTCCTTTTTGGGTTCCTGAACTGCAGCTATAAGGGACAGGGAATAAAAAGAATTGCTGTCAGCACCATTCATCCCTAGAACTGCTTTCCCTTGCAATTTGCAATGAATCTTTCAGAAAAAAAATATTAGAAATAAATCTGTATGCTTTCTACGCACGTTCTTTGCATGTTCATAATAATTCATGGTATCCGTAACAGAACATCCAGATTCAGCCATAGTTTCATTCCATACAGCATTAACCTTGTGAACTCTCAAGTTTGCTCCTTCCATTATATATTCAAGATGGACAGTATTTAATATTTATTTGTTATGTATATGTAGGGGTGTGGTCTACACATATGTTGTATATAGTATGTTTAGGTGTGTGTCATGTACGTGTCTCACTTTGAGAGCGGACAACTAAATTTCATTTTTGATGTGTGCCGTTGTACCCACGGTAAAAAAAATGACAATAAAGGTAATCTTATCTTATCTTCAATTAATAATTAACTTTCACTGATTTATCTTTGGTGCAAAGTAAATATTTGCTGGAAGGTGACAAGAAAACATTAGGAAATACTTTCCTATTTTGTACGTATTAAAAGGGAAGGAAGAGGAGCTTTCTTTGATTGAAGAAAAGATGTCAAAGCTGGTTGGCTAACCTGTCACAGCGTCTGCAAAGATAGGTCCAAAGCGCTGTGTCCCCAAGATGCCGTAGAGGTTGAATCTGTATCTTTGGGAGTGAACCAAATTGGGAATGATGGCTTCACGGGAATCTCCGTCCATAGGCAGGGCTTGATCACTGCCTTCCGAGTCTTGATACTGGAGTAAAAAGGAATCAAATCTGCCGGTTGGCACTCTCCATGTAAGATGGACAGAGTTGCTGGTCACCTCTGAGACAGCCAGATCACTGAGGATGGTTTTGTGGACGGTCACGTCTTCCTGTGAACCTGTGGAAATAAAAGATAGCCACCCTCTTTGAGATCACTAGCTCTTGTGCATCTTTTAAGATTTTAAGAAATCAGTTGTGCTTTTAAGTCTGCTGTCCTAGGTTTAGCTGTGTGTGTGGATCTGTATAAATTCCATCCCTTTTATTATTTACAATAATAAAGCAATATATTGGCGAGCTGTTTCTTTAATGGATTATATTTGGCTAGCTGTATTCCCAAGCCTAGGGATTTAAATGTATTATGGACCATTTCACGGGGGTCGCCAAACAACGCAGTCCGCCATTTTTTCCCCCTTTTCCTTAGCTGTGCTACTCTCTTTTATTCTATTGGCTTTTGAAAGCCAATAGAATAGACTCTCTTGAATAGAGTCTAATTCTATTGGCTTTCAAAAGCCAATAGGAATTGTCCAGGCTGTCTCTGCCCTGCTGAGCCCGCCAAAAGTCCCATTCTGCAAACGGTGCTGCACCAGTTGAGTAGTCCTCGACTTACGACCGGTTGAGTAGTCCTCGACTTACGACCGGTTGGGAGTCGCGGCATTAAAAAGGTTGAGAACCACTGAACTAACCTGTGATGAAAGTGATAGAGGCAGGACCTAGACGTCTCTGGTTGGAGATGCCATAGAGATCTATTGTGTATCTGTGGGAAGGAGCCAGGTCAGGGATGGTGATTTCATGAGAATCCCCCTCGGTGGACAGCTCTCGGAGTCTGCCTTCAGCATCTTTATATTGAATCAAAAAGGAATCAAAGGTCCCAGAGAAGACTGTCCAGGACAAGTGGGCAGAATTGCTAGTGACAGTGGCAGAAACGTCTTTAAAAGTGCTACTGGAGCCTATGACAAAAAAAAAAAAAAAACCCAAAAGAAAGGAAAACAAGGAATGTCATTTTAATAGAATACGCTGCTTTAATAACAACAACAGTCACAATTTATTAAACGTGCGCCGCCCGACTCCCATAATAATAATAGATGCAAACTCCCCAGAATGCTTGGATAGGGAAAAGGTATAACAAACAAACACATAAATAAATAAAGACAGTGCTGCAAGGTCAGAACAGGGCTTAGAACAGTGATGGTGAACCTTTTAGAGACCGAGTGCCCAAAAGCTGGCCCCGCCCCTGCTCCACCCCCTGCTCCGCCCCTGCTCCACCTTCCCATCCCCCATCCCGCCTGCCCGCAAGGCCACTCATCGCCTCCAGGGCCCGCCGCAGATCACCCAGGCAGCCCAGCAGCGCTATGGCGGTCACGCCCTCTCCCCACGCCCTGCAGCATCAACTGTGCACGATGGGTGTGAGGGCAGAGTCTTGTCTACGCTGCCTGGCTGCCATGTCCTTGCATGCGGTGCTCCGCGTGAGCCACACTCAGGGGCGACTCTCCTTCAGGGGGGCTGCTGGAGAGGAGGGGGATCACAGGGGGAGGCAAGGCTGGGGCAACGGCACGTGTGCCCACAGAGAGGGCTCCGAGTGCCACCTCTGGCACCTGTGCCATAGGTTCGCCACCACTGGCTTAGAAAGTCCTTGGGAAACTCACACAAAAATGGAGAATTGCAAGTAGCTTGGCTGTGGAGATTCTTGGGCAGGAAGAGATCATCATACACTTGAAATACAGTTTGCAAATGTACAGAATCATGAAATATGATGCACATTGTGTAAGGGAAGAATGTCAGTGTAATAATCTATAGTGTAATTGCGATAGTGACGAAAATAATTTTATAAGCCATAATTGTAGCAGTAGCAGTAGTAAATCTACTTCATTGAACCTGGTCAAACATTGCATTGCTTCAGTTTATTATAAAAAAAAGAGGGTTTTTTTAGATGAACAAATATACTGCCTTAATTAGGTTTTGAAGCACGATGACTATCTACCTTGTGTGACCGTGTTTTGTTTGGGCTATTTCAGCAATGTTATCCACAGTCCGAATCCTGCAAATAGAGCAGCTGATAAATTTTCTTTGGAAGCCCATTTCTGTTACAACACTTCAGTGTTTCTCAATCTTGGCGACTTTAAGATAAGTGAACCTCAACTCCCAAAATTGGTTGCAAAGCTATGTTTAAAAAAAAAATACTATCATTAGGTAAGTGAGGACTACCCATATCTGAACTTTGGGAATTGAAATCCACACATCTTAAAGTTGCTAAGGTTGAGAGAGACATGATAGCAGTGTTCCAATATCTCAGGGGCTGCCCCAAAGAAGAGGGAGTCAAGCTATTCTCCAAAGCGCCTAAAGGCAGGACAAGGAGCAACAGGTGGAAACTAACCAAAGAGAGAAGCAACCTAGAACAGTGACGCCAAACCTTTTAGAGACCGAGTGCCCAAACTGCAACCCAAAACCCACTTATGCATCATCGGGTGCCAGGTGGGTGTGGCCCATTGGCTGGGTGTGGCCCATTGGCTGGGTGTGGCCCATTGGCTGGGCATGGCTGCGGTGATAACGGCAGACTGGGTGGGAGTAAAAAGTTCAATCAATCAATTCCAACTTTGCAAGATCTTTTTTTTCCCCGCGAGAAGTTGAAATTGACTGATTGATTGAACCTTTTTTTTTTTCACATGGCGGCGGAGGCCTAAAGCAAAAAGGTTTTATAAAACCCAGCTGAAGGCCTAGGACTGGGGTGACGGCGTGTGTGCCCACAGAGAGGGCTCTGAGTGCCATCTCTGGCACCCGTGCCATAGGTTCGCCACCATTGACCTAGAACTAAAGAGAAACTTCCTGAGAGTTAGAACAATTAACCAGTGGAACAACCTGCCTCCAGAAGCGGTGAATGCTCCAACACTGGAGGTTTTTAAGAAGAGACTGGGCAGCCATCTGTCTGAAATGGTGTAGGGTTTCCTGCCTAAGCAGGGGGTTGGACTAGATGACCTCCAAGGTCCCTTCCAACATCATCATCATCATCATTATTATTATTATTATTACTGCACTAGTTGATTTTGGCTTTGTGTAACATCTCATCTCCAATTTCTGACAGTGCTCAGAACCCCTCACTTACCTGGGACTACCTCCAAGGACACGGGGCCAAAGGGCTTACGGCCTAGGAGAACGTAAAAGTTGAATCGGTATTTTCGGGAGGGCACCAAGTTAGAAATCGTGGCTTCTCGGGTGTTCTTGTCCATTCGGAGCACCTTGGGCTTGCCCTCGGCATCCTTATATTGGATCACAAAGGAGTCAAAAGGCCCAGTGGGGGCATCCCAGGAAAGGTGAACTGAAGTGTCTGTGACATCTAAAAGAGAGAAATCTCCCAGCCTGGGCTCTTCCGGTTCTACTGCTGACAAGAAAAAGGAAAGAGAAAATGACGGCTAGGAATTGCTTGGAAAAAGAGGAAAGACAGAGGATGGGAGAAAATAGGGCTGTACGTATGAGTCTTGCAGGCCTCACCTATGGGTGACTAAGTAACATATACCGTGTTACGCTGCATTTGCATCGGCATGGAAGAATGGTTGGCTTAGAACAGCAGTTCTCAACCTGTGGGTTGCGACCCCATCTGGGGTCGAACGACCATTTCACGGGGGTCGCCAAACAACGCAGTCAGCCATTTTTTTCCCCTTTTCCTTAGCTGTGCTACTCTCTTTTATTCTATTGGCTTTTGAAAGCCAATAGAATAGACTCTCTTGAATAGAGTCTAATTCTATTGGCTTTCAAAAGCCAATAGGAATTGTCCAGGCTGTCTCTGCCCTGCTGAGCCCATCAAAAGTCCCATTCTGCAAACGGTGCTGCAAGTTGTCTGCAGTGAAGGCGAGCTGTCTGGAAGTTTCCACCCCTCCCTGCTGAGCAACTACTAAAAATGTACCGTAAATGCCGGCGTATAAGACGACTTCCGCGAGCGCTGAAATCGGCACCAAAGACGGGGGTCGTCTTATACGCCGAGTCGTCTTATACGCCGGAAATACTGGTAGTTTCCGGCGTATAAGACGACGTTCTAGAAATGCGGCCCGGCTATAAAGACGGGGGTCGTCTTATACGCCAGGTCGCCTTGTACGCCGGCATTTAAGGTAAGTAAAAGAGGGCCAGGGGTAGGAGGTGGGAGGCCGGAGGGCGCAGGGAGGGTTGCTGGCGCACGTGGGGCCTGGCGGGAGCCTTACCTCCCTTGGGCTAGGCCAGCTGGTGGTCCAGCCGGTGGTCGCCCTGCGCCGTCGCTGCCCCTTGCCAGCTACACCTCAGCCGGCGCAGGGGGTGGCACCATGCATACGCGGCGCTCCCGGGCAGGGAAAGTCCTTGACTTACAACCAGTTGGGTAGTCCTCGACTTACGACCAGTTGGGGGGGGGTCGCGGCATTAAAAAGGTTGAGAACCACTGGCTTAGAAAAATTAGTTTTAGCCTGTTCAAAAGCTAGTGGCTTGGGAAAAATTCAGAGTAAGGATTGCAGAGGTGAGTAGTGTGTGAAAAAGGTGCTGATGGACAGAGAAGGCTATTTTAGCCCCATTGCTTCTAGACCAGGGCTTTTCAACCTTTTCACTGACTGTACCACTTTTAGGATATGGCAATATCCTAGCAAGGTGTCAAAAACTTGACGACCAAAAAAGCCAAAAAACCTGTTCAAAGTTGCAATTGCACTGAAATGACTTATGACCATTTTTCACACTTATGACCATTTCAGCATCCCCAGGGTCATGTGATTTATATTTGGCTGCTTGGCAACTGATTCATATTTATGATGGTCACAGTGTCCCAGGATCACGTGATCCTCTTTTGCAATCTTTTGACAAGCAGAGTCAATGGCAGAGATGCTGGTGGCCAAGTACTAAGGTGGGACTTCCCTCCCTCCCTCCTTCCCTGCCTCCCTCTTTCTCATGCCCACCTCCTTATGAAGGAAGAATTTGACACCCCCCCCCATATTTTCTCTCTTCCATATATTCATCAAACAAGGAAAAGCCTCCAGAGACAGAAAAGACAAGCTGCTGAGTGAACTAGCTTAAAATGGCACATTCCCCTTTAAGAATTAGCTACTGGCTAGAAAGGAAAGCTAAGGAGCGCAGCCGGCACTTAAGGATGGGAAAAAAATGTAGTAAGTACTGCTGCCGGCTAAGGCAGCCTCCCCAAATGGCTCCATTCATAAGTAAAGGAATGCTATAGGCAAAATCCATTCAGGAGAAAAATACTTCAAAATCCCTTGCAGCAAAACTTACAGCTAACAATAGCAGAGCAGTAGAAGCTAAAATGAGCCATCAGCCAAATAGAAATTGCCAAACAACCCTTAAGAACACAAAGCCTTCATTGCACAAATCCCAGAGCTTCAAAGTCACAAAGTACATAAGAATCCTTCCACTCTGCATCTCCCTCCCTCTCTCCTTGTCTCACCTCCAGCTGATGCTACCTTTCTTCATTCCTCATGGAGGGCAACCCCTCCCCTGCTGCATTTCTTGCCTGTTTGTTGCTGCCAGCACAGGTGGCTGCCACAGAAATTGTAGATCGGCTCATGGCCAGTCTGCTTGATCTCCTCTCCTCTTCCCCTATCCTCCTCCTTCCATGCAGCTAGAGCTGACTCCACCTCCTCCCAAGGGTGCTTCTTTTCTCTCTCTCTCCCTCTCCTGCCCAATCTGCCTCCTTTTATAGCCTCTCCTGTCTTCACCCCCTCCTCCTCCTTTCTCATGGGGGATGGTGAGCTAGAAGTGAGCCTGGGGCCTTTGCCTCACTCTAGCCACTTTACAGCTCCAGAGGACTCTCTCACAGTAAGTCCTTGCCTGTGCTGGCTCTTTCCCTCTCCCACTACACTTGGCTAGGCAGGGCTGTGTACCACCTGCCACTTGTTAATGTACCACAAGTGGTATGCATACCACGGGTTGAAAAGCCCTGTTCTAGGCCACCAAAAGGTTACTTTGAAGCTGAATCAAAGCAGACCTAGCCCTTCCAATCCAGCAAGCGAATCCTCCATTACTGGAGCTTTTCAAGAAGAGCCTGGACAGCCATTTGTCCAGAATGGGCAGGAAGTTGTACTAGAAGACCTCCCAGGTCCCTTCCAACTCTTTTACTCTATATTCTAAGTGGGAGTCAGAATCCTGAGCAATGACACAGACTGCATCGGGACACAGATAAAACACAATGGACAGTGGGTCAGAAAATGTCCTTCATCATGTCGGAAATATACATCCTATCATCTCCTTTGCCAGAAAAAAGAAAATCTGAAGCAGAACAAAATCAAGATGCCAGTCAGAACCTGACGAATTTAGGAATATAGCAAGAGTACCTGTAATCATTTTTGTGGAGAAGGGGGCGCTGTAGCTTCCACCAGCTCTCTCTCCATGTAACTCTATTTCATACTCTGTCCCAGGGTGCAAATCCATTAGGTCGACACTTCTCTCTGTTCCTGGAATGCTGATTTTTTCTGGAGGTGCCCCAGATTTGGGGTCCCTATAGTAGAGGGAAAAATTGTGGAAGAAGTTGGGCGGGGCTGACCAGGTTACACGGAGCTGGTTCGGAGAGATTTCGGTCACTTGTAGGTTCTTCAGTGGAGTTAAGATGGGTGGGGTGTTGGTTCGGATCTTGTCATTCGTTGGTGAACTTGGAGCTGAAGGAAAAGAGATTTGAGGTGAGGGAACCAGAAACTGTTTTTTCTAAAAAAAACAAAAAAGTTTCAGAAACTTCCTCCTTTGGTTAGTCTGGCCAGCATTTTTCTCTATTTCTCGGATTTTACAGAAGGCACCTTAGTCAGTGTGTGTGTGTGTGTGTGTGTGTGTGTGTGTGTGTACAGGTAGTCCTCGACTTATGATCGCAACTGAGTCCAAAATTTCCATTGCTAAGCAAGATAGTTAGGTGAGTTTTGCCCCATTTTACGACCTTTCTCGCCACCGTTGTTAAGTGAATCACTACAGTTGTTAAGTTAGCAACACGGTTGTTAAGTGAATCTGGCTTCCCCATTGACTTTGCTTGTCAGAAGGTCGCAAAAGGGGATCACATGACCCCAGGACACGGCAACCATCGTAAATACATGCCAGTTGCCAAGGCCCTGAATTTTGATCACGTGACCCTGGGGGTGCTGCAACAATGGTCATTAAGTGTGAAAAATGGTCCCTTTTTTTAGGACTGTGGTAACTTTGAATCATCACTAAACGAATGGTTGTCATTCGAGGCCTACCTGTATCTATGTGTATGTGTGTCTTTTGATTGCGGTTTGAATCTCTGAGCCTTTGAAATGTGACAGATTGTTACCTGAGAATCAGTGACAGGAAATCTCTATAATTCAAAACCAGAGTCGCTCTGTGAGTGAGATGGTCGGTCTCCCTAAATCTGATAAATAAATAACATTCCTGATCCTATACTACAGACATGTCAAACTCGTGATGTCACGTGACGTCGCATGACGTATTGGAGCTTTTTCCCCATTGCCGGCAATGGGGTGGGCGCGATTTTGGCGTCACGCATCCGGCCCGCGGGCTGGCAGTTTGCCCTGCTTGCTATACTAGATGAGAGAAAAATTCACAAAAAAATGTGATTTCTGGATTTCCAAAGGTCAGTTGTTAATTACTGAAAAGCTTCAAAGGTTCTGTCTCAATTAAAATGAACTTAATTTTATAATAAAGGGTTTTCTGCAGTTAATATTGCGGAAGTACCACAAACGTTCATTCGTTGGTGAACTTGGAGCTGAAGGAAAATAGATTTGATTTATAATACATTTTATAAATGTATTATTTTAAGCAGAGAGTAGTTCTGTTTCAAGTAGTCTATACAAATAGTCATGCTAAGGAACTAAGCTCTATAAAACATCTTATGCCAAAATAATGAATCATTATGGCAATAAATAAGATGCCAAATTCAATAATTATGCATTTTTTTTAAATACCTCAACTTAACAGAACCAACCAAGATAAGGAATATGAGGACAGGGAAATTAATTTAAAAAAAAAATAAACAGAACGGGTGGTGTTATTCCAGGAATTATTTTGAAGGTAAGAATTGAATTTTGCTATTTAGCTTTCAAGATTTTGTCCTGCCTTTCCTGCTTCTCTTAAGGAGCATTGGTTTTGGTGCCAATTTCTTTTTTTCTGAACTGGAAACTTTATCTAAAGATAAAGAACTTCAATTCAGAGCAAGGGCAGTGCTTCCTGAATCACATAGCACCCGATTCCAAAAATGCAAACTTTTTGAAATCTAGACAAGCCCGTTTCCTCCATTACAGTAACTAGCTATTTTCCACGGGTGGACGTCTCTGCATAGATCACCCAATTCTCCCATTTTTATCCACCTTTTATATAAGTATATTTTGTTTACCTTAAATTTAAACAAGGGAAATTTGTTCAAGAATCCCTTTCCATATTATTACGATTTTAAGTGTTTGGAATTGATGCAAATATCATCTAGACAACGTGCTTAACCTGGCTTGAAAAACCACAATTTTTGCATTCGCATAACAGGCTATGTCCAAGCAAATACTAGTAGTCCTTGACTTACAACCATTCATTTAGTGACCGTTCGAAGTTACAACAGCACTGAAAAGTGTGACTTGTGACCATTTTTCACGCAACCGGTGCAGCATCCCCAAGATCAAAATTCAAATGGTTGGAAGTGGCATGTATTTATGACGGTTGCCGTGTCCCGGGGACAATGTGATCCCTTTTGCAACCTTCTGACAAGCAATGTCAATGGGGAAGCTAGATTCACTTAACAACCAGGTCTCTAACTTAACAACTGCAGTGATTCACTTAACAACTGTGGCTAGAAAAGTCGTAAAATGGGGCAAAATTCACTTAACAGCTGTCTTGCCTGGCAACAGAAATTTTGAGCTCAGTTGTGGCCGTAAATCAAGGACTACCTGCAGAGTTAGTGCTCAACTTATGAACAGTTATTAAGTGGCCATTTGAAATTCCAATGGCCCTATCTTGGGGGTACTTAAAACCTAGATTCAACGTTCTGACGATCACCCCCCTCAGTCACATAACAGAACTTTGGTTGCTTGGCAACCAGATCTCATTTACGGCTGTTTGCAGCATCCCACTATCATATTATCGTATTTGATGTCAGTTTTAGCCAAAACCTGGCATTTACTTCACAATTTTGGCAAAACTGCTCCCAATGTTCACCCAACGATCACTGCACAAATGGTAGTAAAACTGTGTTTGTCACACGACCGTCCCACTTTATAACCCTTGCGAGTTTTGATCGACGGGCTCCATTGTGATAGAAACTCAGGAACCATCTGCAATCCGTTTTATGGCTGAGTGTGACGGTTGCTCAACCTGGTAAGTCAAGGGCTGGTTTTCAGAGTGGGAGGTGCGTAGAAACTCCCCAACACTATCGTGGGAACCAGCCCTAAGGTTCAATTCAACTGAGAGGTATGCTAGCCAGACATATATCGGAGCTGATCTTCCCGCTACTGCGAGAAGAACAAGTAAAGACTTTAGAATAGGTTCCCTTCCTTTCGGAAAATAAAACCTAGACATCCCAGCTAAACAGCAAGACAGACACTTGGAGGTTGTGGTTTGGATGTGTGAAAGTGGTGGCAACAGCAGCAGCAGCAGCAGGAGCAACAGAGCAATGGCATAAGCTGGCTTGACACTGAAAACCAACATTGTTGGAACAAAGCTGAAAAGAAAGTTTTCAGCCACATAAATGCAACATCAAGGCAAGAACCAGAAGCCTGCAAGATTGAAGTGATTAAACACAAAAAGACTTCACTTGAGCAACATCAGCAACCGACTGTGGCTGAAAAAAGAAAAAGAAAGCGAGTGGTGTATTAAAAATTAAAATAACACATAAGACAGGAGAACATCAAGACCGGGACATTGCTCTACACAAAGGCAATTTTCAGTGTGATTTCAATGTCCACATGTGAATGTTTTGATGATCTGATTTTGATTTCTTCAGTTTTGACAAACCTTGGCTGTCACTTGTATATATTTGAGCCAACATATTGAGAAATGTTTTACTAAATTGTGTAAAACCTTTCAATAAATAAGTAGAAAATTGGGCATAACATTTATATATATATATATATATATATATATATATATATATATATATATATATATAGTTTTCTGAGGTTTTCGCGGGTATTTGTATGTAGGTCTTTGGTTGTTCGGGTTTTCTCCCGCGTAAAATTGGAATTTTACGCGGGAGAAAACCCGAACAACCAAAGACCTACATATATATATATATATATATATATATATATATATATATATATATATTATATATATATTTTTCTGAGGTTTTCGCGGGTATTTGTATATAGGTCTTTGGTTGTTCGGGTTTTCTCCCGCGTAAAATTGGAAGTGTCTTGGCAACGTTTCGACGAAGTCACATTCGTCATCTTCAGGCTGGTGTTTTTAGCTTCTTGCTTTGAGCAGCAATTGCTGCTCAAAGCAAGAAGCTAAAAACACCAGCCTGAAGATGACGAATGTGACTTCGTCGAAACGTTGCCAAGACACTTCCAATTTTACGCGGGAGAAAACCCGAACAACCAAAGACCTATATATATATATATATATACACACACACACACACACACACACACACACATACACACACACACATATTCATATATAGGCTATTTTTATGGAGAGACAGGGCTGTTGTGGGGTGATATTCAGCAAATTATTCTTTCTCAGGACTGCTGCAAGGATAAAAATGGAAACTTCTTCAGAAGAAAGTCAGGCTTTCAATTATTAAGAAATAATTCAGTATATTTCAGTCACTTCTCTGCATTCTCTAAGCTCTTTGCATATAATATCATCCACAACTGTAATAAAATTCTTCCTTGCATGGTTAAATTTAGTGGAAAAACATCCCATCGTTTAACTCTTTTCAAGTAGATGTCAGAGGAACTCAGGACAACATAGAAAAGATGGACGGGAAGCACTCTGGCTATAAGAACCGGCGTGTAGCAAAAACAAAACAGACCAAACAAACTTTGAATTAGCAGGTAAGGCCGCATTTTGGCTTGAAGAAGAAATTAGCTGGTGGAGATTGTGACGTTTGCGTGAAAGGCTTTCTCTTAAGGGAGGGACATAACTAGCAGCCTACTGTCCAAGCAACTTGGGGGAGAACGTGAAAGCAACGTGTGATTAAATATTTGGCCATGTGTGGGTGCCGCAGAAGCTCGACTTTGCAACAACACAAACAAGGCATGTGAGGCAACTATCGCAGGCAAAAGGAGAGAGAAAACTGCCGGGGTGGACAACTGCCCTACCAACCCTGATACCTGTGGCAGTTATAAAGGAATATGACTTAGAGGAATGTCCTTTCATGACCCCATGGATTTCTATCAGGTAGGTTGTTCCGGGTGACAATCTGGTGATGATGGCTGTAGACGCATCTCCAGGCACCACTAACTCCTTTATTTCTCCAGTCACCATGTTTCGGTAGCGGATGACCACGTGGTCAGAAACCCCCCTCACGCTGTCCAAAGACACCTCAATGTGATCGGGGGAGCTGTCCACCACGGTTGGCTTGGCGTGGTCTGGACGGAGGTATCCCTCTGAGTAGACGCTCTCTGTTTCGGTTACTGGGAATTCCCTTTTCACCGGCAAGTTGCTGGTTTCTTGGACAAGACGTTCTTCAACCCTCTCTTGAAACTCAATTGGCTTTGCACGCTTGAGGTAGAGGTAGATGTCCCTGGCCACGCTCTGGATTGTCTGGTTGCCTCGGAGAGGGAATCTGATGGCCCGGAGATAGCTCTCGAGCCGCTCAAGGAGAGTCCCGTTGTAGGGGGACAGTTTGGATGAGATATTCTGGGTCATTCTCTTCAGGAAGTGCTCCTTAGTCAGCAAGGTGGTGTTCGTTGGGCGGCGACCCGGATGTGGTTTAGTGCCAGGTTTCTTCTCTTCAGGCTCAGAAGAGAAAGTGTCTGGCTTTTTATGGGAAGAGGGGGTTGGTGTCAAGTGGTGGCGACTTGGCTGAATTGGAGCTGGTGCTGGTGGGATCAAAAACGCAGGAGGTTATGGCAAAGTACTCAGGGGGAATAAGTCACGGAGATGAGATGTGTGGCTAGCAGCTAGAAATACAGGTATAGTCCCCGACTTACAACAGTTCATTTAGTGACCGTTTGAAGTTTACAATGGCATTGAAAAAAGGACCTAGGACCATTTTTCACACGTCTGACTGTTGCAGTCACCTGACCAAACTTCAGGCACTTGGCAACTGACTCATATTTCTGACGGTTGCAGAAGTCCTGGGGTCACATGATCCTTTTTCGTGACGTTCTGACGAGCAAGATCAATGGGGAAGCCAGATTCACTTAACAACTGGGTTACTAACTTAAACAACCGCCACGATTCATTTAACAATTCCTTTTACAAGAAAGGCTTATTGTTAATGGGGGTTTGTCAGAGGTTTTTACAATAGAAAAAGGTACAAGACAGGGATGTCCATTATCTCCGTTACTGTTTGTTTTAACATTGGAAATTTTGCTGATTAAAATTCGGGAGTCGCAAGAAATAAAAGGAATAGAAGTTAACAAAAAAGAATATAAGTTAAAAGCTTTTGCAGATGATTTGGTGGTTACTCTGTCTCAACCTACTTACTCTGTAGTAAAGTTATTACAGTTGATTCATCAATATGGTTGTGTCTCGGGTTTTAAAATTAATAATAATAAGACTAAAATATTACCTAAAAATATGATTAGTCGTGATAAACAGATTTTGGTTAATTTAACAGATTTTGAAGATAAGGTAAAATATCTGGGGGTTACATTATCTGTTTCTAATGCAAAACTGTATAAGAATAATTATGAAAAGTTGTGGATCAGGGTACAGAAGGACTTGAAGAATTGGGATAAGTTACAGTTATCTCTTATGGGTAGAATTGCAGTTATTAAAATGAATGTCCTACCAAAATTTCTTTTTTTGTTTCAAATGTTACCTATTTTAAAGAATGAGCTTAATTTAAATGAATGGCAGAAAGGCATTAATAAATTTATCTGGGCAGGGAAAAAACCAAGGGTAAAGCTTAAAATTATGCAAGATTTTCGTGAGAGAGGTGGACTCAAGGTACTGAATTTGAAATTATATTATGATGCTGTGGCTTTAACATTGATTAGTGACTGGGTAAATTTAACAAATGTAGAAATACTCCATCTGGAGGGTTGGGATTTACTTTTTGGATGGCATGCCTACTTAATTTTTAATAAAAAAGTGGATCGAGTTTTTAAATCACATATTATAAGGATTTCTTTACTTCGGGTTTGGAGGAAGTATTATAAGAGTGATTTTAAAATACCTTTATGGGCCATACCTTGGCATGCGATAGAGGGGATAAGGAGAGGAGTTAAAATGGATAGGGTTTCTTATACACAACTACTTAGATGGGATGGCCAAAACTGGCAGTTAAAATCTTTGGAAGATTTAGTACATGAAAATATTACCTATTCATGGTTTCAATATAGACAAATAGTGGACAGGTGGAAGGATTGTAATATGGGCTGGCTTAGAGAAGATGAAAATCTTTTTAAACAAGTAAAGGATCAAAGACAAACTCACATTAAGAGGGTTTACGGGGTTTTAGTGGAATTGGATTCAGAATCTGAATTAATCAAAGATTGTATGATTAAATGGGCACAAAATTTTGGTGAACCAATCCCACTGGATATCTGGGAAACTATTTGGGTGAGGAATGTTAAATTTACACAAGCCCAGAACTTAAGGGAGAATTTTTATAAAATGTTTTATAGATGGCATCTTGATCCACAAAAAATGTCTATTATGTACCCTGATCTACAGCCTAAATGTTGGAGATGTGGTTGTTTGGACGCCACCTATTATCATATTTGGTGGTCGTGTAAAAATATAAAAGCTTTTTGGATTAAGATATGGTGGAATATTCAAAGAATTTTTAGAAGGAGGGTAAAATTTACCCCGCAATTATTTTTGTTAGGTATTGTTACTGATTGCGATGCTAAGGAGGTTATATTGATGTTAAATTTGATTACAGCCGCAAGGCTGTTAGTAGGGCAATATTGGAAGAAGGAATCTTTGCCTACTTTGCAAGAGTGGTTTTTTAAAGTTTCTTATTTGGCGGAAATGGCAAAGATTTCGGCTTTTTTAAAGGAGCAATCGCAAGAGAAATTTTATGTTGTATGGGAAAAATGGATAAATTTCATACAATATAAATTAGATATAAAAAAATATCATTTAGCCTTTTTGTAACTTGTATAAAATTTTTTTTGATATTTTATAGATTGTTTTCCCTTTTTTTTCTTTTTCTTCTTTCCTTTTTTTCTTTCTTTTTTTTCTTCTTTCTTTCTTCCTTTTTTTTCTTTCTTTTTAAGTACTTTTTCTTTTTAAAGTTTATGTTATATATATTTTATTATTAATTATTTTATAAGTTGTTAAAATTTGTTTAGGTTTTTTAAAATTTTAAATAAGCCTATATTCGGTTCTGGGAAGTTCGGGGGGGGAGGGAGGGGATGGTTTGGGAGGGATTATTATAATAATAATAATAATAATAATAATAGTAAAGTTGGAAGGGACCTTGGAGGTCATCTAGTCCAACCCCCTGCTCGGGCAGGAAACCCTACACCATTTCGGACAAATGGCTGTCCAGTCTCTTCTTAAAAACTTCCAGTGTTGGAGCATTTACTGCTTCTGGAGGCAAGCTGTTCCACTGATTAATTGTTCTCACTGTCAGGAAGTTTCTCCTTAGTTCTAGGTTGCTTCTCTCCTTGATTAGTTTCCACCCGTTGCTTCTTGTCCTGCCTTCAGGTGCTTTGGAAAATAGCTTAATTCCCTCTTCTTTATGGCAGCCCCTGAGATATTGGAATACTGCTATCATGTCCCCCCTTGTCCTTCTCTTCGTTAAACTAGACATACCCAATTCTAGCAACCGTTCCTTATATGTTTTAGCCTCCAGTCCCCTAATCATCTTTGTTGCTCTTCTCTGTACTCTTTCTAGAGTCTCAACATCTTTTTTACATCGTGGTGACCAAAACTGGATGCAGTATTCCAAGTGTGGCCTTACCAAGGCATTGAAGAGTGGTATTAATACTTCAGGTGATCTTGATTCTATCCCTCTGTTAATGCAGCCTAGTACTGTGAGGGTGAGGGTTGTTTTGTTTTTTTTTTGTTGTTATTTGTAAAACTTTTAAAAAAATTTCAATAAAAAATATTAATAAAAAAAAAAAGAAAGGCTGTAAAATGAGGCAAAATTCACTTAACACTTGTCTCGTTTAGCCACAGAAACTTTGGATTCAATTGTGGTTGTAAATCGAGGACTAGCTGTATGGAGCCCTAGTTAATCTAGCTTTTTTAATTTTCCCACCACTGTAAATTGGTTTAGACTGGAGTTGGCACATCTCACTACAAAGTTAGACTTGGTGACTTATCCCAGACTGCCGATCTTGAATTTCCCCAAAGCTGCAATAAAACAGATGGAATTAGCGTCAGTCTTTTTTTTATACATTGCTTCCAGGAAACTCCGGTGGTCTGATTTTTCAGAGATCTGTGGATTACATAGAGGAAGTTCAAACAAAAAAGGAATTGCAATCATAACTGCTGAAGGAAAGGAAGAAAAAAGACTTGAGATGTCCTTGGTAGAAAAAAGACAGTATAATTGTGGGGAAAGACGCTTCCATAATGAAAGAACGCAGAAACCGCCTTTCAGCAATTCTTTCAGACTTATTTCTGGTCATTTCATCACACGGTGCAAAAAAAAGCTTAAATAAGCCATTATTGACAAAACACTAGAAGAATGCTTTCTGAGGATACTGAATAATCAAGGCTGCTAATTTGTTCACAGAATTATAAAACCTATCTTTACCGGAAGCTATGAAAGGGAAGGCCAAAGGTTCTAGGTTAGCCCGGAGGATCAAGGACGCTGCCACAGAAAAAATTGGGACAGAAAGATTTTACCAGGAGAATAAACAAAAATTCTTAAAATTCTCTCCCAAATCAATATTGCTTAAAGCAGTGTTTTTTTCAACCTTGGCAACTTTTAAGATGTTTGGACTTCAACTCCCAGAATTCTCTCGCCAGAATGGCTGAGTGTGGAGTTTGAGGAGTTGAAATGCACAGATTTTAAAGTTTCCCAGGTCAAGAAACACTAATTTAAAGTTTGCAGCAACTTATGCTTTGTAATTCTTGGTATTGGTAATCAGATTTAAAAAAATATATAAACTCTCCTGCAAGTGTCTAGGCCAGGTGTAGGTAACCTTGGCTCTTTTATGACTCGTGGACTTCAACTCCCAGAATTCCTGAGCCAGCCATGCTGAGGAGAAATGGAGAGGTTTCCAAGCTGAGCCACGCTGGCTCAGGAATTCTGGGAGTTGAAGTCCACGAGTCATAAAAGAGCCAAGGTTGCCTACCTCTGGTCTAGAGTAAATACATGATTTAAACAAATCAAATCTGACATCATTGCTCTGCCCATTAAAATACCTTTTTTAACGGGAATATATATATATATTCAATATTCTCTGCTCTCGGAAGCAGCCCAGCTCATTTTCCTTTTTCTTTTGATGCTTTCCATACAAAAGTGCATTTCCTGAAACACTGAATCGTTATTCCACACACTGCAGGAATATATCAGAAACAATCAACCCTCAGAGCGCAGAGGACTGCAAAGAATATAAATCCTTCCCTTCCCCACCAGCCAGTTAGAACTGAAGAAGCTTCTTGGATGAAAAGTGAAATGTTTTCAAAAGGAAAAAAAAAAACTCCAAGAAAGTCCAGTTTCCTTTTGGAAAAACCACCTTTGGGACAACAGTGACCTGGATGATTGAGAATCTCCATAGACATTCTTGCAGAGACCAGGGGTGTGGAACGATGGCCCTTTTACGACTAATGGACTGGCTCATGGATTCTGGGAATTGAAGTCCACAAGTCATAAAAGGGCCACAGTTCCTCATCTCCAAGGCAGACAAGACTCTAGTGACCTACCTGAGGTGCTGACCACAATGCTGGTGGCTCGGCTGTTCTCGCCACTCTGGCGGGCAACCAAGGTGATGCGGTATCGCGTTCTGCTCTCCAGGTCTTCCAAGGTAACACGCTCAGGGACTGCTGGAAGCTCTACACGTTTCATGGCTTGGATGGGTCGAGTGGGAGCCAGAGGGACATAGCTGAGGACGTAGCCATCAGGGCGAGAGGTAGGTGGTTCCCATTGCAAGGTCAGGGAGTTTTCAGACACTTGTGATGAGTGCAGGCCACTGGGAGGGGCTACTCCTGGAGAAAAGGAAGACACACATGAAACACAAAACATTGCAAAAGGCGGGGAACAATTGGAGTTGGAAAGAGGCGGGCTTGGGCTTAGTGAAAGGAGTAAAGAAGAGCAGGGGTACCATATCTGGCCTGTAAAATCCAGATCAGGGGTCCCCAACCCCAGGTTCGTGGACCAATACTGGGCTGCGGCATGCCGATAACCGGGCCGCACAAACAAGAAAAGCCCCAGGCAGCACACAAAACCACGCACCCTCTGGTCCGTGGAAAAACCTCTCTCCACGGAACTGGTCCCTGGTGCCCAAAAGGTTGGGGATCTCTGAGCCCGATGACATCAAAATAGCAGCAGAGAGCTAGAAAAATAATAATAATATAACTCTTTGCTGCCATCTAGTGGTCATTAAGACCCTTGTCCCCAAAGTGCTTTTTTTCAAAAAGCAACTGGACTTTTTTTTGTTTGGTTTTTTCCTTGAAGGCATTTCGCTTCTCATCCAAGAAGCTTCTGGTGCAGACTGGAAGGATTTATATTTCTTTCAGTCTTCTGGTCATTAGCACTCTCTGAGAGTCTTTTAAGACCACTTGGACGTTTATCTGTGCCCTCAGGTTCACCTGAATAGTGCAAATATGTGTGGAACTGCTGAAAGGCCTGTGTGGTAAATCCTTCCATTCTCCACCATTCAGTCAGAACTGAAGAAGCTTCTTGGATAAGAAGTGAAATGTCTCCAAGGAAAAACAAAGAAAGTCCAGTTGCCTCTTGAAAAAACAACAACACACCTTTGGAACAACCATGAGCTGGATGACTGAGAATCTCCATAGACATTCTTGCATCCCAGACCAATTATTCCTAAACAGAAGATAACAGCAGCTGCAGCTATTTAATGCAGGTAAGTATCAAATGCAGAGAAAGTAGTATAACAAACTGGAAGATATAAGCCATTATTCAATAATGGCCTGATCTATCTCCTAGTAAACTAGCCTAATTAAATCCATTTTAATGCATTTTCCTCCTCTTACTAATTTCCTAGATCAGGGGTCTTCAAACTTGGCCCTTTTATGACTTGTGGACTTCAATTCCCAGAATTCTTCAGGCAGCATACCTGGCTGAGGAATTCTGGGAGTTGAAGTCCACAAGTCATAAAAGGGCCAAGTTTAAAATCCTTGTCCTAGACCAGTGGTTCTCAACCTGTGGGTCGGGACCCCATTTGGGGTCGAACGACCATTTCACGGGGGTCGCCAAACAAGGCTGTCCGCCATTTTTTCCCCCTTTTCTTTGGCCACGCCCCTGGCACCCGGTGATGTATAAGTGGTTGGGGGTCACCACAACAAGGGGAACTGTATTATGGGGTCGCGGCATTAGAAAAATTGAGAACCACTGTCCTAGACGATTAGAGCAGGTCCAGGCAGGATCTTAATGAGGATGTTCATTCTTTGTTTTTATTTATTTATCATGAGAATAAAAACAGAAAAAAAGAAATAGAAAGAAAGAGAACACATTAAGGTCTAGCAAACTATAACAATTGCAGGACTGCCTGTAATTCATAAATAAAATGGGCTGCTTAAGCATAAAGAGGCTGTGTTGTGGAATAAACAAGGTGCCTGAATTTTCAACACTCATCGAGGTAAGGACATGTGGAGGGAAAAAAGGGAATGTTGTTCAGAATTATGGTGAACAATAATCTTATATTGAGATGACTGAATTAAAAAGAATAAATGAGTTGTAATAATATGTAACTGTTCATAGCTCAGGAGAAACATGAAAGGAAACCACAAATAGGGGTGATTGAATCTGCTAAATATTTTTCTTTCTAAATATACTTCTGAAATGTACTGGGCAAGCAACGATATTGTAGCAACTTCTGCTTTTTATCTAGTTCAGGGGTAGGCAGCCTGGGCTCTTTTGTGACTGGTGGACTTCAACTCCCAGAATTCCTGAGCCAGCATGGCTCAGCTTGGAAACCTCTCCCTTTCCCCTCAGCGTGGCTGGCTCAGGAATTCTGGGAGTTGAAGTCCACGAGTCATAAAAGAGCCGAGGTTGCCTACCCCTGATCTAGTTTCATACAAACGGCTGTTTTCCCGCTTGTATCACCACATAAAGTATAAAAGCAGGCCGAATAAATCATTTGGGATTCTTCCAGCTTTCTGGGAGGACCCATCTTTGACCAGATCTGAATAAACGTGTGACTCAGAGAGAATTGAATTCTGCCTCTTCGCTCATGATGGGCCAGACCTAGATTTCCTGCCCAGCAAGGAGGAGGGAATTTTCACGCACAAGGAACAGGCCGAAGAGAAAGAAAAATGGGGCACGAGGTAGAGAGGCAGACAGAAATGGAGTCATGGCTCCAGACTACATACGCGTACGCACGGTCTGGGTGACAGGGGGTCCGTAGTGTTGCCCTTTTTCTACCCGAACGGTGACTGTGTATTCCTCCCCCGGTTTCAATCCTTTGTATTCAAAGATCCTTTCGGTGCCAGACAGGTGTGTGGATTCACCTGCCCGAGGATTCTTCTGCAGGTTGGAAAGGAAAAAAGAGACAGAGTGACACCACAAAACATACAGATGCTCACAAGGGCTTGATTAAATCATTTTGTTTGAAATGAGATTGGGAAGTGGAGGGAAAGTGAGGTTAGTCTGAAAAATCTTTCAAGAAACCCAGTCTCCTGTAATTGTAAAAAAAAGGTTCCTCCCCCCATGCGTTGGGGGAAAAAACCCCGACTTCTATTCGTATTTCTTTCTGGAAGTGGAATGAATGAATGAATTTATCTGGGACTGAGCTAAATTTCCCTCCTCCTGTGTTTCAATGGTGCATTGATGAATTTAAAATATTGCACTGGAAAAGTAGGTACCGTATTTTCCGGCGTATAAGACGACTGGGTGTATAAGGCGACCCCCGACTTTTGAGAAGATTTTCATGGTTTAGAAAGTCGTCTTATACGCCGGAAAATACGGTAGCTATTTTTTAGTGTACATTACTTGGGTGGTACACATAGAAAAGGGTAGAGCTTTGATCCTCCCTCTCTCTCTCTCTCTCTCTCTCCCCTTTTCTCCCTCCCTCCCTTCTTCTTCTTCTTCTTCTTCTTCTTCTTCTTCTTCTTCTTCTTCTTCTTCTTCTTCTTCTTCTTTTCTCTCTCTCTCTCTCTCTCTCTCTCTCTCTCTCTCCACACACACACACACACACACTGGATGCTCCTACCAATACAAAGTTAAATACCACAAGCAATTTGAGCTGACTCAACCTGGAAAATATTATTTTCATATGGATTAGGAAAACACAGCCAGAAAATGTTTTTGAGGTGGGCTGTGCCCTCCAAAAACAGACAACCAGGCCAGGTGGACTGGCCTTTAGTAGCCTAAAATATTTCCCATAATTTCCTTATAGTAGGAGCTAAGATGAATACAAATGAGTTCTGGTTGAACCCAGATATTGAAGAACTACAGCTACCAGCATTCTCCCTGGCCACATCGCCTGGGACTGCTGGGAGTTATAGGTCAGCAATATTTGGATGGCAGCACAAGTTGGATTCTCCACTTCTGCTGAACAAACACATTGTCCCGAGGTATATCTTTTTACCGTGGGTGCCACGTGGATCTCATATCCGTCCACAGAAATCTCGGGGTAGTTCCACTCCAGGCGGAAAGAGGTTTCATCTCGATTTGAGACACGGACACCAATGGATGGAATCTCTGTTTAGGCCAAGAAAAAAGATGGTTTGTGTGTATGTGTATATATAAGAGCACGAACCAATATTGCTTGCTTTCTTACTTTATGATCATCTCTTCAGAACTTTGCTAAGACAATATTGCCTTGAAGAGACATTTTGTTGCCTGAGGGGAGATTGTCAGTGACCCTCACTTTTAATCAAGATGCATACCTCAATATTCCATATTAGTTCAACACCAGACAATCTGTGCCCTATTGGGTCATTGTTTCAGAAATATAAATTATCTAAACAGAAATAGAATGACCATGGGTGGGCAAAAAAAAAAAACAATGGGTGTGGGAGCAGATTTTGATTTCCTGCCAGCTTCCCCATTGAGTTTCCTTGTAGGAAGTTAGCAGAGAGCATTAGAAATTTTCCTTCCTGCCTTCCCTACCTCCCTAGTTCTCTCTCCCTTCCTACTTTCTTTCCCGTTCAAGCAGGCTAGTAAGTAGTTGCTGCTGGGTGGGGGAAGGAAGTGAGGGATTGTGAGAGTGGCTGGGAAACTGTCATAGAATGTTCAAAATGAGCATCACACGATTGCAGCAGCAGCCCAGCAGCACTGAAGCTCATCAGAGGGAGACTTAACCTGGAAATAAGGAGGAATTTCCTGACAGTGAGAACGATTAATCCATGGAACAGCTTGCCTCCTGGAGTTGTTGAGGTTCCATTGCTGGACATTTTCAGGACAAAAATGGACAACCATTAGTCAAGAATGGTATAAGGCAGGGGTAGGCAACCTTGGCTCTTTTATGACTCGTGCAACTCCCAGAATTCCTGAGCCAGCACAGCACAGCTGGCTTAGGAGTTCTGGAAATTGAAGTCCATGAGTCATAAAAGAGCCAAGGTTGCCTACCCCTGGTATAAGATGTCCTGTCTTAGCCTGGGGTTTGGACTAAAAGACTTCCAAGGTCTCTTCCAGCCTTATGATTCCATGACAACCTTTCCAAATTTCATTTCTTTGGGAGTTATGGGTCTCAGATTTTGGATGTATTCTTTAAATTAGCCCACTTGGGGTATCTTGGTTGAAAAACTGTTTCCCTATGATGTACTGTTTTGCCAGTAAAAGGTTACAGGAAGGAGAGTTTTTCAGTAACATGTAGATTTGTGCAAAAAAAAGAAAATCTACAGCTCCTTTTCCCTCTCTCTGTTATGAAAAATGATGTTTATTCATTCAGGAGATCAGCACTTCTCAGCCTTGGCAATTTTTAAGATGTGTGGACTTCAACTCCCAGAATTCTCCAGCAGCATATGTGAGCCAATTAGAAACACATATTAAAGGGATTTAACAGCTAAAACAAGCTGGAATAAATCAGTGTTGTTTTCACAGATGCTTAAACCCCAAGGATATGGAGAAAGAGTGATGTTTTTAATGCTCTTTTAAAGGCTGGTAAAATAAGGTTTAGCCCAGTTTGCTGCAAATGTGCTTTGCTGTACAGGCAGTCCTTGTCGTACGGCCACAGTTGGGACTGCAATTAAGCAATGTGGTCGTTGTGACTCCTGACATGACTGTGCCTGATTTTACAATCTTTTTTGCCACGGCGTTAAGCAAATCACACAATTATTAAGCAAATCTGGCTTCCCCTATTGTCTTTGCTAGTTGGAAATCACCTGGGTGGGTCACAAATAGTGATCACACGAATGTGGGATGTCGCAACCATCCTAAATACGTGACAGTTGCCAGCTGGAGTGTTCTGGCTGGCTGGCTAGGGAACAAAGTTAAATTATTAAAATTGCCAAAGTTGAGAAGCACTGGGTTAGGCCCTAAAGCTGTGAGTGGCAAACTTATGGCACACGTGCCAGAGGCGGCACTCAGAGCCCTCTCTGTGGGCACGCGTGCCATCACCCCAGCCCTGCCTCCCCTTGTGAGCCCCTCCTCACCAGAAGCCCCCCTGGAGAGAGTCACCCCCCAGGCACAGCTCGCGTGGAGCAATGCAGCCAAGGACATGGCAGCTGGGCAGCAGGGACAAGACTCCACCCTCGTGCCCATCACACGCAGTTGATGCTGTGGGGTGCGGGTGGAGGGCATAGCCGCCATGGCGCTGCTGGGCCGCTTGGGCGATCTGCAGTGGGCCGTAGAGGCGGTGAGTGGCCCTGTGGGTGGGCGGGGCAAGGGGTGGTGGGTGGAGCAGGGCTGGGAGGAGTGGGGAGGGGTGGAGCAGGCGGGATGGTGAGGGGCTGTTTTGGGGGCACTCGGTCTCTAAAAGGTTTGCCATCACTGCCCTAAAGGATTCAGGAGATGTCCCCTCCCAACCCATTTTCCAAATGGATCACCTTTAATTTCCAAAGCACCAGAAGGCTAGAGAAGAAACAACAGATGGAAACCAATCAAGGACAGAAGCAACCCAGGATTAAGGAGACACTTCCTAACGGTGAGGACAATTAACCAGTGGAACAGCTTTGCCTTCAGAAGTCGTGGGTGCTTCATCACGGGAGGTTTTTTAAAGAAGAGACTGGACAGCTATTTGTCTGAAATGGTACTATAGACTCTCCTGCTCCTCCTCCAAGGTCCCTTCAAGCTCTATTCTGATTGATTGATTAAACCTTTGTGCCTACCTACTGAACAGTCCTCGCCCGAATAGCCACTGTTGCACACGCATGTTCCATTCTGACATTCTCCGTGACCACTGCAGTGCCCCAGACATGCCAGCTGACCGCAGTCGGGGCCGGTGTAATCTGGGTGGCAGGAACACACCCCTCCTTGCAGACAGTGGCCTCTGTGGTTACAATCGTTGGGGCAAGCCTTGGTGCCGCAGGCTGGCCCAGTGAAGCCTGGCTCGCACATACAGCGTCCATTGCGGCATTCTCCACGCCTGTTGCAGTTGCTAGGGCAAGCTCGGGTTGCACAATCAGTACCAGTGTAACCCGGGTTGCACACGCATCCTCCTGAGATGCACTGGCCATGTCCGTGGCAGTTCTGGGGGCAAACTGGGTCAGAGCAGGAGGGCCCCACATATCCTGGGAAGCAGGTGCAGTGGCCCTCCACACAGCGCCCTTGGTCATTGCAGTCATCGGGGCAAGAGGGTGGCTCTTCGCAGCTGACCCCTGAGTAGCCAGGCTGGCATTGGCAGTGCCCGTTCACACAACTGCCCCGTTCTGCGCCCCCGCAGCCTCCGGAGCAGACCGGCTCGGCGCAGGTGGGACCGCCCCAACCTGACTCGCATTCACACAGGCAGCGAGAGAGGTCAAAGGATCCATGGTGCGAACATAATGTGCGGATGTCTGTTTGGCCTAGGAGAGAGGAAGAGCGAGAGAGAGTAGTAAGGAGGCTGAGGGAGGGATAGTTTAAGAGGGCACCTGTAAATTGCTTAATTGCTGTATTCACAACCCAAGGGAGGAAACTGGTGACGTCAGCTGCTTGTTTTACCCTCAGAAGTGGGACTGAATAAGAATAAAACTCTGATCTTCCAAATGTTGGTTTTCACAAAGTTATTGGGAGGGAGGGAGGGAGGTAAGAAAGAAAGAGGGAAGAAAGGAAAGAGGGAGGAAGGCAGGGAGCAAGAAAGGGAGAAGGAAGGAAGGAAGGAAGGAAGGAAGGAAGGAAGGAAGGAAGGAAGGAAGGAAGGAAGGAAGGAAGGACAGAGGGATGGAAGGAGGAGGGAGGGAAGGAAGGAAGGAGGGAGAAGAAAGGAGGGAGGGATGGAAGGAGGAAAGGAAGGAAGGAAGGAAGGAAGGAAGGAAGGGAGAAACAAAGGAGGGAAGAAAGGAACAAAGAAGGAGGGAAGAAAAGACAGAGGGATGGAAGGAGGAGGGAGGGATGGAAGGAGGAAAGAAGGAAGGAAGGAAGGAACAAAGAAGGAGGGAAGGAAGGAAGAAATAAAAGAGGGAAGAAAAGACGGGTGGAAGGAGGAGGGAGGGATGGAAGGAGGAAAGAAGGAAGGAAGGAAAAAATAAAGGAGGGAAGAAAAGACAGAGGGATGGAAGGAGGAGGGAGGGATGGAAGGAGGAAAGAAGGATGGAAGGAAGGAACAAAGAAGGAGGGAAGGAAGGAAGAAATAAAGGAGGGAAGAAAAGATAGAGGGGTGGAAGGAAGAGGGAGGGATGGAAGGAGGAAAGAAGGAAGGAAGGAAAAAATAAAGAAGGAGGGAAGAAAAGACAGAGGGATGGAAGGAGGAGGGAGGGATGGAAGGAGGAAAGAAGGAAGGAAGGAAGAAATAAAGAAGGAGGGAAGAAAAGACAGGGATAGTAGAAGAGGGAGGGAGGGAGAGAAGGAAGCAAGGAAGAGGAAGGAAGAAAAGGAGCGAGGAGGGAAGAAAGGAGGGTGGAAGGAAGGAATTTAAGGAAGGAATTTAAATGGAATGATGTATGGAGGGAAATAAGTGACTAGATAAGGGGTATATATTCTATAGGAAGAGCCGATTGTAATGTATCTAAACTATCCTGGATGGAGGGGGGGGTCTCTGTGGCCACCCACTAAGAGCTTGCTGCCATCACTCTTAGGTGAAGAACAAAGGACTCAATTCACACAATTGCCTGTTTCCTTGATCCCAGCTCAGAAACAAATTTGGCAAGGAATGAAATATTCCAACCAGGGCCAGGTAGAATTCAACCCTGCCCTCCTCCCCCTCCTCCCTTACCTTCGCTGGCTTGACTACTGGTGGACGCAGCAGCAGGGCAACAGCCTCCCCCAGCTTGGCAGGTTTCCTGTAGGACCCGCACTTCACTCTCAAGGGCCTGCAGCCTTCTCCAGAGCTCCCGGGTATCTTCGGTGCCAGGTGGACACCCACAAGACTGCGGTGGGAGGTTGATGCGATGGGTGAACACCACGTGCTCCTGATCAGATCCTTCCAGGGTGTGCTCATACTGGCCCCCTCCACGAGAAGACCCAGGAGGGCCTAAGGCCTCTTGGGGAGGCGGGGAGGTGTCTTCGTCTGGCGGGTCTTCTCCTGCCACCTTAATTGTGTAGACGTGGGAGAAGATGGTCGCATTGGAAGAGGTGAGAGGGCGGGGAAGACGGGCCTCCCAGGAAACCCTCAGCCAACAGAGGAGCAGAAGGAAAGACACTCCCTTTGAGGGCCTCTCCATGATCAAGATCTGTTAAGGAAGGGGACAATAAGGAAGAGAAATAAATCGGGGCTGAATTTGGGAATCCAAGAGAACAGAATTAGAACGACTAAAGACAACAATCAGCGAGGTAAAGGAGCCAAGCATTTTCCTTAGCATGGACACCAGCAGCTTTAAGATGTGTGGACTTCAACTCCCAGAATTCCCCAGCCAACACCCAATTCTGGGAATTGAAGTCCACACATCTTAGGGGGGACATGATAGCAGTGTTCCAATATCTCAGGGGCTGCCACAAAGAAGAGGGAGTCAAGCTATTCTCCAAAGCGCCTGAAGGCAGGACAAGAAGCAACGGATGGAAACTGACCAAGGAGAGAAGCAACCTAGAACTAAGGAGAAACTTCCTGACAGTTAGAACAATTAACCAGTGGAACAACCTGCCTCCAGAAGCGGTGAATGCTCCAACACTGCAAGTTTTTAAGAAGAGACTGGACAGCCATTTGTCTGAAATGGTATATAGCAGCGGTTCTCAACCTATGGGTCGCGACCCCATTTGGGGTCGATCGACCATTTTTCAGGGGTCGCCAAAGAAGGCGATCCGCCATTTTCTCCCCTCAGGGGGTGGCGCGCACATGCGCGCCGCGCACAGGGGGCGCCGCCACGCATGCGTGCCGCGCATGGGGCGGGGCAGTGCCGCGCATGCGCACCACGCATGCGCAGCAGCACCCCCATGCGCGCGGCGCCGCACATGCGCAGAACGTTTGTGTGACGGGGGTCGCCGTCACACAAACGTTGAGAACCACTGGTATATAGGGTTTCCTGCCTGAGCAGGGGGTTGGACTAGACCTCCAAGGTTCCTTTCAACTCTGTTATTCTTCCAATTTTGAAGAATGGTTGGTTTAATAGAGACAACTCAGATGATGGGGCCTGATTTCAAAAGTTTAGGAGAATGGATGAATTGGAGATAGGAGAAACACAACTTGCTATTTATTATTCGTCAAGAGAGCCACACCATTGATCAACAAATGTTCTTATTTTTATACACAATTAGCTTAGTTTGGAAATAGGAAGAAACAGGCAGAACCTCTATCTTTGTGAGCTCTCTGATAGGAAGAGAAAGTAAACTATGGAAAAAGAAATCCATTTTTATACCAGGACCCCTAAGAGCAATACCCAAGGACTTCCATTACTTGGAAATTTTGAATTTATCAGACCCAAGCACCTAAATTCTACAAACCCCCCCCCCCTTGCTTGGAAATGTGCATGTCTTAGATATTACCTTTATAATTCTTACACCCTTGGTTAGGACTTGAATTAAGTTTTCACCAGTCTTAGATTATGAATCTAAGTGCGGTTTACTCATAATAATAAGGAAATCAATTTACTGAGGACAAATATCAGAAGAGGCTGTCTGATACTCTGAATAGAGATAACTAAAAAGCATGTAGTTTAGGCACAAATAATATCAGGAACGGTTGCTGGAATTGGGTATGTCTAGATTAACGAAGAGAAGGACGAGGGGGGACATGATAGCAGTGTTCCAATATCTCAGGGGCTGCCACAAAGAAGAGGGAGTCAAGCTATTTTCCATGGCACCTGAAGGCAGGACAAGAAGCAACGGGTGGAAACTAATCAAGGAGAGAAGCAACCTAGAACTAAGGAGAAACTTCCTGACAGTTAGAACAATTAACCAGTGGAACAACCTGCCTCCAGAAGCGGTGAATTTTCCAACACTGGAAGTTTTTAAGAAGAGACTGGAAAGAGATTAGAAAGTATTATTTAGCTTTTGAATAACTTACAGCATAAAGTTGTTATGGTCAGATTTGTTGATTTTAATGTAATGGAGTTAAAGGGGTTCTTAAATTTTTTTAGGATTTATGTATAATTGATTGATGCTTATTTAATTTTTATGTTTTTTCTTTTGCTGTTTTTAGCTCTGTATTCAGCTCTGGGAAGGGGGGGAGGGTTAATGGGGGGGAGGGAGAGGGGTGGGGAGGGATTTTATTGTAAAAAGTTTATAAAAATTTTAATTAAAAAAAAAGAGACTGGACAGCCATTTGTTCGAAATGTATAGAGTTTCCTGCCTGAGCAGGGGGTTGGACTAGATGACCTCCAAGGTCCCTTCCAACATCATCATTATTATTATTATTATTATTATTATTATTATTATTATTATTATTATTTCTGGCACTAAGTGTTAAAATGTGTCCTGTACATTTACCCTCACCCTTTGACACATTGATAGAGGTTGATGAAACTCAATAAATTAAGGAGAATATTTGTATCTCAAGGTTGAAATGAAGGGTCTGAGCTTGGTTCAGAGCCAAAAAAAAGAACAAAAAGAGCCAAACACCTCCCCACCAGCAATCAACACCCAGATGAGCATAAATTAACACCAAGATTAACATCAAACCAACAGTCAAGAGGTAAACAATGTCCCAATCAAGGAACTGCCAATCAAGCTAACAGTAAACGGCCCAACCAAAGAATCACCATGACTAACCCCCACCAACACTGGAAGGGCAAGCCACTACTAGATTATAAACTGGGAGCAAACCCCATTCCTTGCTAGCACTGATGATGTTACCTAGTTTGGGAATGAAACTTCTGCAAGAAAACCACCAAGCTCAGAGGACCCCTCAAACTCAATAAAAGAGGCTGGTGATGATCTAGTTTTCAAGCCTGCCTTTGCAAGGTCTCACTACCAGCTACCAAGGAAATTAGGAAGTATGATATGACTATCTCCTAGTGGTGGGATTCAGCCGGTTCGCACCAGTTTGGCAGAATCGGTAGCTATGTTTTTGTTGCCCAGGCCCCGAACGGACTTCCAGAAGCGGCATCCACACAGACAACCGGTTGTTCACCTATTTGAATCCCACCACGGCTATCACCCGTGGCATTGATGTGGACAGCAGAAATGCACGCAGAGGCTTGACGCAGATCCCACAAATGGGGAAGGTCAGGAAAGCGTAACAACAACGCAAATACACCCAGCAGGATGTTCTGAAGTGCAGCTGTAGACCAGCCCTGAAAAAATCCAGATATGAAGCAAGAAGCTGGCAGCAGAGGAGAGGAAATGGTACGTAGGATTAGACAGGGTAGAAAAAGAGTACCAACATCTTTCTGAAACGTCCTGATGACAGAGGCTGTAAGCAATGGATTAAATTGTCTCCTCAAGTGGGAAGGATTTAGTTCCTCAAAGCCACCTTTTCTAGGAGTAAAATCCTTCACGGCAGCAGTTTACAAGAAGGCTTCCACGTACAATGGTAATTAAACCCGGAATTATGGTCATAAGACATAGTGGTTGTAAATCGAGGCATTACAAGTGATCCTCAACTTGTGACTGTAATTCTCCCAAGTATATGGCTTTTAAGATGATCAAAGGCTTGGAGACCAAAACATATGAGGAACAGCTGTGGAACTTGGGTTTGGCTAGTCTAAAGAAAAGAAGAAATAGAGGAGACATGATAGCAGTATTCTGGTATCTGAGGGGCTGCCACAAGGCCAGAGGAGGTCAGGTTATTCACCAAAGCACCAGAGGGCAGGATGAGAAACAATGATTGGAAACTGATCAAAGAGAGAAGCAACCTGGAATTAAGGAGAAACTTTCTGACAGGACAATCAACCAGTGAAACAGCTGACCCCAGAAATCATGGGTGCTCCGTCACTGGAAATTTTAAAGAAGAAACTGGATAATCACCTGTCTGAGATGGTATAGGTCAGTGGTGGCGAACCTATGGCACGAGTGCCAGAGGCGGCACTCGGAGCCCTCTCTGTGGGCACACATGCCGTCACCCCAGCCCTGCCTCCCCCCACAGCCCCCTCCTCATCAGCAGCCCCCCCCAGAGGAGAGTCACCCCCAGGTGCTGCACGGGCACAACAGTGCAGCCAAACACATGGCAGCTGGGTAGCAGATGATGCTGTGGGGTGCGGGCGGAAGGCGTGGCCACCATGACGCTACAGGGCCGCCTGGGTAATCTGTGGCAGGCCATGGATGGCCCTGAGAGCGAGCAGGGTGAGGGTGGAGCAGGGCGGGGGGTGGTCAGACAGAGCGGGGGCAGGTTGGGGTGGGGTGGTTTTTGGGCACTCTCTAAAAGGTTCGCCATCACTGGTATAGGTTCTCCTGCTTGAGCAGGGGGCTGGACTAGAAGACCTCCAAGGTCCCTTCCAGTTCTATTCTATTCAATCTATATATAAAATACAAAGAGAAATAGAAATGGGAAATTAGGGGAAGGAAAAAGAAAGGGGGAAAGAAAATGTAAAGTACAAGGGGAAAAAAAGAAAAGAAAGGCATTGACCTCTGACTCTTTTTAGCACAGTACAAGGTAAAAACACTCCAGCCTCAACTTTTTGTTTTACACATTATATATAACTGACCATTTCCATCACAACAAGTCCATCAACAGCCAAAGTCAAAGCTTCAATTTTTTGTTATCACAAGCACAAAATCCAGAAGTGATATCCAAATGAAAATTGCAGTGAAATATATTCTCCTCTTTGAATCAAATGATCAATTTAACCATTTCTGCTTTATCTTCCTTGGTGTGGTAATAATATGTGTTTCTATTTGCACCTAATAATCTTTATAATACCATTTTGTACTAACAAGATTCACTATATTCTTTCAGATCCTTTGACCTTACAGGGAAAAATACTCCTTTTTTTTTACATCCTTTTTTAAAAATGCTAAACTTTTCTTTAGTCACATTTCTGGAATCAAAACTTTCTAATATATCGTTTTCTTTTAACTTCTTAACATACATACTTTGTATGTTAACTTGTGACTGGAATTGAGCTTGGAATTACGGTCCTAAGTCATTGCGATCATAAATTGAGGTATCACATACCCATATCCAACTTTTGGGGCATTTTTGTGATAGTCAAGCGAACACCAAGGTCATACATGAGTCCATTTTACCCAAAGGGTAATTTTTTCTAGCAACCAGCAGGGGGAAAAACCCATCAGAAACCTTTACAGCAGTGGTTCTCAACCTTTCTAATACTGCGACCCCATAATACAGTTCCCCATGTTG